CTCGCTATTAAGAGCCGTTGTTTCATAGCATAGCTGTCTATTTAACATTAAATTCAAACAGATGCTTTACGGTATGACAGTTGAAATAGGTCCAACATAGTTTACTAGTTCTATCGTTTATTATAGGCATGAAATAAATGTATGTAATTATATAATACATGAACATTTTGAGCTATTAGTTAATTAGGGATCGATTTTGGTGTTAATTAGTTGTTAGAGGCGCCACATAACAAATATTTATTAGTGTGACGGCCTTCAGGTCCGCGTTTGGGAATGTCTGTTCTCCGGGCCCTATTTTCTTAGAATCGTGATGTGAGAGCACAACCACATTTTTTCCTATTTTGTAAAGATATATTACAAAACGGACAGTTTTGATACGCTATTCTGATATCTATCCTTCATACGTCCATTGTAACAAGATAATATTAATAAATAAACATTATTCAATTATATGTTGACATTTTACGATACTGTAAAATAAAATTGCTATTTTTCTTTTCTTCTTCAATGTTAGTTGCTAATACGTATAATGTTGTTAAATTAGAACATTTTTAATAATATAATATTATTGTGAAGGATTTAAGTACTTAATTAAATTCCATTTACTCGTATTTCGTTAAAGTAAATATGTAATTATATCGTTTAACGATAAGTTTCTAGAGTAATCAAGCGCTCTATAAATTCCATTGCCTTCTTAGCGCCAGCCTACCTGTGGAGTAAAAAAAGTACTCTGGTTGTAGGCCCGAGTCGGCGCTTTTGAGATAATTTATAAGGCTCTGCCTTTCTTGGAATTTCGAAATCTCCAGATAGTTACGTGCCCAACTTCGAATGGGACGACCTAACGGATTCGACGTGAAAAAAAATACGCATTGTATCCCGCGTTTATTACAGCGCCTACGAAATTCCTTACAGAAAAAAATTAAACCATTAATAGCTAGCAGATGTGAAAAATTCCCGCCGAAAATTTTGTGACATATCTAAAAAAACCTTCAGAAAACACGCTGTATATCATTTCATTATGATGCACTTACGCAGAACATTTTTTTTCTTTAAAGGCTTCGTTTAAATATAATTTCTGTTTAATTTTACGAGAGGCTTTCTACATTCAGGTATTTGTACTCGAGTCCCGGTCGATTCTGGGAAAAGAAGGCCGCATACCACAGCCGAGCTCTGCTATTGGACGGCGGGAGTCAAGTGTGCGAGCCAACCTCAAATTGTCAGATCCACCGATATTTTTCAGACCAGTTTCTTTATAATGCATGGTTAAACATATAGTATGAATAACGCTATATAATATTCATATTTATGTATTTAATAATAATTATATTTTCACACAAATAATGAGTAACGGATGAAGTAATCATAAAATTAAATGTAGGTACCTACGTATACATAAATTACAGTATGGCAACATTTAAGGGAATATTATGAGTTGTACATACTTATATGGTTACAGTGGTTTATGTTATATTCTTTATTGTTAAGTCACGAACGTCCGCCGCGTTCAGTATAACCTGTTCCATTCATTAAACTGAATGCATTTGATAAAATAAATAGCTAATGAATGGTTACATTCGTTTGAAATAATTTGAGCCATATTGGCTGTATGAGTTTTTAATTTCTGTAAAAAGGTTTAATTTAAAATATGGACTACACTTGACTATATATTTAAAAAACGTAAAAAACTTTTTTGCAATATAATCCCTACTAATATTAAAAATGCAAAAGTAACTCTGTCTGTTTGTAAGGCTTTCATGCCTAAACCACTGAACTGATTTTAATGAAATTTGGTACAGACATAGAGTTGACCTTGAGAAAGAACATAGGATAGTTTTTATTCCAGAATTTTGAAAAGTTCTCTTGGAAACGCGATATAACCGAACTCCACGCGGGCGAAGCCGCGGACGGAAAGCTAGTAAACAATAAAGCAACAGTCGAAATTGACGACTAATATATTAAAAATACATAAAAACAAGTTTGTTCAAATATGTTATATAGATTAAATCAGAATAACATTAAATTTGAAAATGGGAGTACCTACGACGTTTACTTTTGACATTGTGTTTAATATTATAATATTTTTTTAAGGGCAAGAGGGTACATGCAATTATATTTTATCTACATAAAATTGAGGAGAAAATTTAAGTATTATATTTTCAAATTATTATCGATTTCTGAACTTGCTTCGTTAAATAATATAGTACCTTCTTATCAATTATCTGCATAATTATAAATTCTTTTATAATTAGTTATTTTATAACTATTTTTACGATAACCGTCTAGATATAAAATTGCGTGTTTAGTTCTTAACAACAGATTACGATTCTGGGTATTTTATTAATTAAATATGTAAAAAAATATTTGTATTGCGTCACTCCAAAATACCAGTTCAACTAAAACACTTCTATTTTTAAACAAAATTTTGTTATCTTTAATTAATGAAAAATATATAATATTATTAAATAGTACTTCAAACTTTAAACATCCTATGTAAATTGTTTATATAATTTCTACATTGAATACAACCTTTATTCACGACTTCGGCTGTATGGAACACAATAAACTTAAAAATTTAAAATAAAAAAACGAACTATCATTTCTTATATAGTTGATCTATTTAAGAATTACCACAAATACAATCTGTAATTTTTCAGCGATTTCTAAACGAGTATTTATATATAAACATAGAAATTCATAATTATTTTTAATACATCATAATTTACAGCAAAAAGTCACAGTCATTCAATTAAAATGGATGACGTATTAATCACTAACTATTATTATATTATATAGAGAAAATAAGGAAAACTTTACGTTGCATCATTTTGCGTAAATCGATTTTCCAATCCGCCCTAGTTCCCGGCAGTAGTGTACGCGATATGTCGAATACAAGACGCTTCCTGAAACTCAGCTAGTGCTAGCACTACGATGAATGTATTCATCAAATTATTATTATCAATGTTGAACTGTAATCGAGATTCAGTGAACGAAGGAACGAACACAGGTAATAAGAACGAATGAATGAATGAATGATAATATTGATGACAATAACTTTGATTTCGTTATTTCTTGATAAGCACAGCTGCTTCGCACGTGGTACAGCAGATGCGTTCCGCCCGCGCACAAGCTGCGTCCGCACCTGCCAAACTTTACCTCAATTTTTTTTATCTATCAATGCAACAGATGGTGTATTAGCATCTGCCTGATTCCGTGTTGCGTTACACGAGGAATGATAACTATTTTTGATGTTTACACGTAATAATGGAACAAAGAATTTAATAATATCATATACATTGCTCAATCTTATATATAAAATTCTCGTGTCTCGGTGTTAGATAGAGAACTCATCTGAAACAGCTGGACCGATTTTGACGAAATTTTTTGTTTTTATTTTTTTAAATGTAGCATTAAAAATATGTACATACAACCCAAAATTTTACTTTTTTATCACCAACACCTATTTTTTTATTGAAAAAACGTTTGCCTGGTGAGCTAGTTTTAAATAAAGTTTACTTTTATTTCGATTTCAATTAATTATGTCAAAAATTTGATGAAAATATTGTAAATTAAACGTAATGTATCATAAATATTACTATATAGGACGGGTTATATCAAATTATTTGTGACTTTTGTATACATGTAAATGACCTACCAGAATTATAAATTGGTCACACAATGACATTTTGATATATAGTCACATAGGAAAATGGCTCGTATATCAAAAGCATTAGGTACAAATTAATATAACAAGATTTTTCAAAAACAAATAAATATTTTAAATGTTTTCAACCTCTCCGGTAGGTTACAACAAGGGCAGTACCTTAAAGTACTTTTTAAAGTGAATTTTAATAAGTATATCTCATCAAACTGTATTTCTAACGTTATAAGAAAATAATTCGGCCGGTACACAAAATATATTTTAGACATATATATAACCTCCTTTTATTTAATTATATGTTTACAGTATAAATAACATTTGTTGTATACATATTTTATATTTTTACAGAAATACATCAATCAACTTAGTCATAATTTCTCAAGGTCAAATAAAAAAATACTTGTTCATCTTAGAAATTCTATATAAATTATTAGCTATAATTCAATGTCAAGGACAATTGTAACAATTACGAAAGTGAAAAAATACAAAAGTTTTAATATAATCTTTAATTTTCTTATTTTTTACGTGGGTACTATGATGAATATAAAAAAATTATAAATAAAATTTTATAAAACTATACATACATACACGATATTACTGAATTATTATTACCAACTTAGAACATTTATAAAAAAATTCAAATAAAGTGGAAAATAAAATAAAATTTATATATTTAAAGTTTAGCTAAAAACCTCGTTTATTTCCATTATATAAAACACAACAGATTAAAGTTTAAACTTATTAATTTATTAATAATCTAAAATTTAAAAAAAAGATAATAATAAGATAATCTAAACTGCATTTTACTTAGAACATAGATAAAAAAGGATCAAGGTTGGTGGATTAAGGTTCAGCATTAAAAAAAGATCTCTTGTTGTCATTAAAATTCCTACAACACGTCATAATTCCTTTTAACCGCATAATTTCTTAGATATGATTGCATAACATTGTAATTTCAATGAATAATAGGATATAACGTCGCGACTCGTTGACGTCTTGAAAAACAATCAACTATCCGTCTTTATATGACAACGCCAGTTTATGTAACTAATATTTATCACTAGTGTATCAGGTGTATTTAATATCAGTGCACCTATTTGTGTTCAAGAAGACGATCATACGTCGACTTTTCAGATTAAAAACTGAATTCATAAAATTTTGGGTACGTTTGACAATATATAGTTTAGTTTCTAAACGTGTCAAAAATGGTGGTTTATAAAAACGATCGGATTTACATACGTCATCCATCATAAAATGTGTGAATTATTTTTACCTTAATAACCTTATAAATAGGCATTAATGATTAATAATATTCATAATTATATTATATTTTTCCTCAGGAATGCAAAATGAGACATCAGAGCGATTGGATGATCAATCACAGACAGCCGGACCGTCAAATGATAATAAAGGTATAAACGTGTATTCTAAATAATAAACATTGTTTATTTTCATTACAATTATCAAATTCATTATCAAATCACCCGTATACTTCTCGTATAACCAAACGACAATAATAGCTAATTATATTTATCACTTAACCTAATAATACTGTTTTCAATAAAGTCATTAAAACAACAACATACTAATACAAATATTTTTTATAGATTTTTAAACAGTATAAATCAAATTAAAGTATACGATGTGTACTCACGTTATTATTATGCGGCCTTTTTTATTTATCGAGCAAGCGGGCTATAGAAACAGAAACAGTTGATAATATTGTGTGTGCGGAGTGTTATTCCAAACGAAGCTTCACTTCGTTCGGCGCGCCGTCGATGTAGGGACAGTTTCTGAACGTGTCGCACTTATTATCGGCCTCGGAGCGCCACTGGTACGATTCCGCGTTTCCAATCGTCAGTTGCGAGTTTCGCGCTCATGGAAAAGTTGTGCTGTTTGTTATCGGATACATTAAACTTATTTTAGTGATAGTGGAATAATAACTGTTGGAAGTTTTGACGTTGTTGTGGATATATTACAGTGGATTTACCTTGTTAGACATGGATTCTATTAGAGGTAAATATTTTACTAACATAACCTATTTTCGTCATGGATCTGTATAGGCCGACGTCACTTTAACTTTATTGACTTTCCTGTACAAGCAGATAATGTGTTTAAATTTTATTTATTTTTTTTTTACATCGTGGTCTTTTTCCACGTCAGCAATACGGAATATAATACATAGGATCATGTTAAAATTTAAATTAGGTACTTTGACATTTAGGAATAATTAGGAGGAAAATGTGTCAAAATGGTTTTATGATTTGAAGGTGAATTGAAATATTAATAATTTTAATTTATAATGTTCTTAGGCTATTTTACATATCATTATGTGTTTTAAACAGTTGTATTTTTCTGTTGCTTACAATTTATTGAATATATCCACTGTTTTAACACCATATGTTAGTAAATTCAATATTATTTTAACGGTTGACATATATAGAAATTAAAATTTAGTTTAAATCATATCCTAAATAAGAGGTATGGAGAAAAAACATATTGAAAATAATATCTGTTTTATTATCGTGTTAATTTTTGTTGTTGGCTTGGAATTTTTATTCTTTCAATCGGCTTAATATACAAGTAACGCCATCTATATACTGTGTGAGTAGGTTAATAAATTTAAACAATTTATAATAAACTAGAATTAATATTGAAGCAATGGTTTTATTTTAATATTAAAAAATTAAAAAATCATGTTTTTTTATTTTAATAATAATTTCCATTTCTATATATACCTAAATGTATTTAAGTATTTCTACTTAATTTTGTCAAGTAAATACATATAATCTCTAACTGATAAAGGACTTTGGTTCCAAGAAGTGATAAAAGCTACTGACTTCATGATAAATCTAGAACCGTGTCACAATAACATTAATAGTCATTTTCTTAATTAAATCAATTAACTAATTCTATTGACCTTCTACATTCTCACCCAAATGTGCCTCTTGAGGTCTCTGCTACAGATCATTAAATATAACTAGTAAAAAAGATATTTGCTTAGTAATATTTCATTTCTATATATTAAATAGATATACTAATAATTTAACATATAAATTATAAATAATTTATTAATTTCTATAAAGATATAATTCCTTTAATTTTTTTGTTTGTGACAACCAACGCCATCTATCGAAGAAGCAGGGAACTTTTGTTTAAATATTTATATTGTAAACTAGTTAGTCCTTTGTTAAGAATTTATAACAATAGGAGACGTATATGTGTAAATTACTTAAAAAATCTATTAGATTATTAAGAGAAATGGGTTGCCAAATTATTTTACAAGTAATAAATAAGTCATGACGATTGAAAGCATTTCATTGTGGCTATTTAAATATCATGATTAACAGCTGTTTAAGTCATGATGCATACAACGTATGTAGCCAACGCTATAAGTATAGTATCAGTATCTACTTACGACACAACTTTTATAACTTCATCATTTTTTATGTCCAAACTCATTCATATTCAAAAATAGCCATTCACAGAGTTTTATGTATAAAACTCTTTGTACATGTAAACATCTGCCGGATGTTCGTTTCCACCGATAGCGTTTCCTGTGCGTCCGTAAACATAGAATTCGACTGTGCCGTCCGTGTAAACAATGTAAACTCGTTAGTATTATGGTACGTAAACATGTATGGTTGCGTAGGTTGACTTGGAATTCGAAAGCCAGGCCACCCATAGGCATGAGAAAAAGATGCCCTTCCCTTCCCACGGCGCCGCTCTCGGGATGCTGAAATTCATTTTGCTCTCAACTTACCTTGGATGAGATATTTTTTATTTTTTAACCAAAGCAACACATGTCGGTGCATTACGACCAGTCTTAATTGGCTCGCTTTAAGGCGTGAGTGATGTTCGTTCAATATATCGATGTTTAATATCTATTTTATATATAATATATACGTGTAAGTGTTGTCCGCATTCCGTTGTATGTTTTTTTTATTCTGTAACTAAGCTAAGTCCCTGCCAGCGGTACCGCCACATTCCAAAGTCCCTTTTTACGTTGTGTGGTCGCGGTTTCCGATGAATACTGCAACGTCGCGTTTCAAATATGAATGAAATCCGGTCCGGAGCGGCAACATCGCCTCAGACGCTCGCCTAATTGAGAACCGAGCTTACTGCGGGTTCTTATCGTCACGAACACGAATACTTTGAAAGTTTACGTAAATATAATATTTATTTATACGTCCTAACTGTGAGTGTTTAGGTTTTGATGTAGACTTGTATTAGTATGAATGTCTCCCGCGTTGTTTTAACTTATAAAGTTAATGTATGGCTTTAGAGGTATTAATCGCGGTGGTCGCTCAACATGTGCTTGTCAACCACACGTGAAGCTATATTTTATCTTCCGACTTTGTCCGCGTTGGTCGTATAGCGTTCTAACTTAGTTAAGTCATATGTTCATATTTTGTCAGACAATGGCCTCGAATATTATAGGGGGTTGAATACAGCTGTGTCACCCCATACTAGCCCCCGAACTACGCGCATGCGCAAACAGTCGCTGTTACAAGCAACTAGCTGATCGCACGGCTAAGGATGCGTGTCCGCGATTTTATTGAAATATTTATAAATTTCATATAGAACTTTTAATAATATATATTGTGAAGGTTTTTGTGTTCAATTAGTAAAGTGTGTTTACATCGAAATGCCGTTGTTGGTTGATACTAAGCACAGGAATGGTAATTATCGATCGCAATGCGGCCATTACCCTGATAGTTTGTTTTCCGAGTTGTTTGTTATCGTCTAACCCGAATATTTGTTTCATTTTGTTTTGTTATATAATATAAATGTACACGTATATTGTATTTTATATGAAAATCATGAATTAATATCGAATCCTATAAGAATTCGCAATCTATGTAATAACAATAAAAATTTTACATCGAACGTTTATAGGAAATCGTAAAAGTCGTTTTAATGATACATAAAATAGAAATTTTATTTTTGTAATAATTTCCTTTGAAAAATGTTTGTTATAACAGACTCAGCGCCCTCACACAGAATATACTATATCAATGACGCAGCTATTGAGACGCAATGGCCGCGGAGTAAGAACATACACTCATACCCTGACTTTCCTCGCGAACAAACATAACATCTACAAACATACAAACACTTGCATTATTAACTTGAAATGTAGTATGTTAATAATTATAAAGGAAACCTAGAACAATATTATATTCTGGTTTTTCCTTCCGATGTAAAAAACTATATAAACGTAAATCATATTATATTACCAAGTTGTATATGAAATTCATAGTTTTATATTGAGACGAAACTTCTTAGCATTCAATGCAATCATCGTGTAGGTGTCGGGTCCATTGTTGCAAAGAAAGGAGCTTCAACAGTGCCTGGGACTTGTGACCCAGGTGTAGGTTTAAGGGGCCCTATCTATCGCGTTAAACGCTCACCTCCACCGTCCAAGTTCTTTCTGCCTAACCAAATTTGTAATTAGACACGTGAATCTTGAAATTTATTAATTTGTTTCAGCTCCGGCCAGCGCGCCATCCCCGAAGACCAATGATTTCCTGTCCATTCTAAAGGACAGGTCGCAGCTCACGTCGCAGCTGTCGTCGCTGCTTTTGCCCGCGCCGGGCTGTTCCTCGCCCGAGCCATCCACCTCCTCGTCTCCGACCGGCACCGATAAGACAGACAACCACGACCTGTTCATCAGAAACGTGGCGGATATGAGACGCGAGGACGAAAGAATCAAGACCTTCGACAACTGGCCGGTTCCGTTCCTCTCGCCGGAACTACTAGCGAAGAATGGGTTCTACTACCTCAAGAGAGGCGATGAAGTCCGCTGCGCCTTCTGCAAGGTGGAAATCATGAAGTGGATGGTCGGCGACGATCCCGCCACGGATCATCAGCGCTGGGCGCCTCAATGTCCTTTCCTAAGGAGGCAGGCGGCCTCCGGGAACGTGCCATTAGAAGACGGGGGGCGCGACGAGTGCGGCGTACACGTACCTCCGCCTGCACCCACGCCTGTGAGAATGCCGGGACCCAAACACCCGCATTACTCCTCGGAAGACGCCCGGCTTAGAACATTCAGCGACTGGCCGCGGAGCATGCGTCAGAAACCGGAAGAACTCGCCGAAGCCGGGTTCTTCTACACCGGCCAGGGAGATAAAACTAAATGTTTCTACTGCGACGGCGGGCTGAAAGACTGGGAGAACGATGATGTTCCCTGGGAGCAACACGCGCGCTGGTTCAGTCGGTGCGCTTACGTACAGCTCGTGAAGGGTAGAGAGTACATACAGAAGGTGATATCTCAGGCTGAAGCGGTGAGCAACACGAACAAGGAAGACACAGAGCAGAAGTTTGAGACTAAACCCAAGGACAAGCAAGGGAGCGAGGACGATAGTAAACTGTGCAAGATCTGCTACAACGAAGAGCTGAACATATGTTTCGTTCCATGCGGCCACGTGGTCGCGTGTGCCAAGTGCGCGCTCTCCACCGACAAGTGCCCAATGTGTCGTAGGACGTTCACTAACGCCGTTCGTTTGTATTTCTCGTGAGGTGTTGTTGTGTAAACACGCCACTAGTCACTGCAGGCCGCGTGCTGGAACCACGTGTCGCGTGGAACTGTGATCAGATATGTAATGCGACATGCGACAGATGGATATAGCAGCCGGTTGGGACGAGGGAGTTCATTGTAGATTGAAATGATTTTTTTTTTTATATAATTATTTATTTCGTGTTCACGAATTTCATCTGTATATAATTAATTAACGTGTAAATATTAGCTTATCATTCTGTTCCACCGACGGATGTGTGTGATGTAATGCGACCACGGAGTCTATGAAAGTTGATTTTTGATGCGAATATTATTTTTATTGCAGAAGTTCGTTATAAAGTGAGCTTAGGTTCATACTTTGCTTATTTTTATAACGGACTTGATGTGATATCACAGAAGGTTTAACGGGCTTTGTCGATGCATTAAATGATTTAATATAAATTTTTCAATAATGTAAAATTGTATTTGAATGATTTATGTAAGAGATCCTATCTTTTTAATGTAAGTCCGCACAAGCCTCTTATTATTTTGTGTGGAGACAAATAAATGACTCGGATGTTAAACAATGGTTCCTGTAAATATTTTATTTTGACAATAACAGTGATTGCATTAGGTAGACATAATGATAAGCGGAGTAAGATTATTGAACATGTTCATTCAAAATTGTAATAATATATATGAAAAACTTATTTAGGACTCGATTGTTCATTGGGATGGTCCGCATTGATATTTAATTAATAACAAGAATAATTCAGACCTAATGTGGACATTTTATAATCATGAAATTAGTCATATCATGTACATTACACTACTAAATAGTTAATGTATCACCAGAACTGATTTTTTTTTAATAATTTTAGCCTTACAATTAACTTTATCACAGAATAATTATTGAGAGTATATAAGTCACATCCAATTGCATTATCTATTATTTCCCACTGTTGATGTTATTAATAAAGATAATAAATGTTATGATACTGTTGTTTCCTTGTGACCCCGACTCACTATTAAAAGAAACACACTATATAGGTGTATAATTTCATTAATGGACAACTTCCTTTGAAAAATCTGAATGAGAGAAAAAACAAGATTATTAAGAAAAAATAAATCCAACTAACCGAAAGGTTTATATTCAGTTAATAATCAATTTTATACAAAATTACTGACGCCACTAATTATATATAGTTCAAAAGTATAAATTATTTTTAAAAGATACATTTACAAAATTAACATAACATTTACTTACAAATTATGATTAATAATTATTTAATTTTTTTTTAATTTAATTTCAAGCTTCGATACTTTCATCCTGGCAATACATACAGTTAAATATGGCAACTGGCAACACATAAAATTGCCACATCTTTCTCATATCTAAAATTTGAGATATGACAAAGATTTCGTAAACTCAGAATAAACACGGACATAATAAATAATTGAGGTGTAATATACATTAAAATAACTCAAATGTTATTAATTTTTATTAAAAAACATTACAATATAAATTTAGGTTGTATATAGTTTCAATGGCTCAGCAAGGCGTTCACATATTTGCTATTTTTCTGCAACATTTCTTGTTTCAACTTCTTTATTTCAGCCATCATTTTTTCATCAGACTCGTTTGTTTCCTGTATTTGCTTGCATTTTATTAGAAATTCTCTGATCATTTCCTGTCCTTCGGATGTATCCTCAGATTTAACTTCGGATTCAACTTCGTAAAGATCCGTTTCTAACTCAGCCTGTTTTTCTTCTGCGAACTGTAAATTAAATTTAACATAAAATAGTAGTAAGTAGTTTTTTACAAAAATTAACTGCTTAGTATATCTGAAAAATATCAGTTTCATTTAAATGAATAATTTCAAAAGTCTTAGGTCTCATTATAAAAACAGTATTTCTGTCATCCCAGATATCCATAGATAATAATTTTGAAAAAAATATTATTCATATATGTATAAAGGGTTCCAATAACACTGGCTAGTAAAGTAATAACTAATAAGAATTGTAGTAATGACTACTATAGTATACTACTAATAGTTAAATGTCGTTTTCCATTCAAACCATGTTAAACACGAAAAAAGGAGAATGTAAATCTTAACTGCAAGTATGTTGTACTATAATACAAAATCTTACAGGTAACGAAATATAATACCAAAAATCAAATTCATACCGCCTTTACATGAAATAACAGACACAAAACTAATAACTATCAGTATTTACGTTAACATCGAGCTCGTACTAAGGTATATATTTTACCTGTAGTATATCTTCAGGTAAATCAGCTATCCTAGCGACGTGCAGCCCAAGAGATTTTGCGGCCGGCCCCCGTACCACGCGATGCAGCAACACGAGCCGCCCGTCTACTACGTCCGCTAACGCTTGAGAATTAACGACACGGGAACAACACGACGCGAGGCGGGTTAACTCGTGGTAGTGGGTCGCGAACAGGCAGAAACATTGGACCTCCTTTGACAGCTTTCTAGAAGAATTATGAAGTTTAAATAAGAACTTAATTATTAATTTAATCATTACTAATATTATAAATGCGAAAGTAATTCTGTCTGTCTGTCTGTTACGTTTTCACGCCTAAAGCAATGAACTGATTTTAATAAAATTTGGTACAGACATAGAGTTATCTTGAGAAAGAACATAGGATAGTTTTTATCCCAGATTCTGAAAGGTTCTCTTGGAAACGCGATACAACCGAACTCCACGCGGGCGAAGCTGCGGGCGAAGAGCTAGTATATTCCATAAATATTTAAATATGTAAAATTCCAAAATAAATTTCTTATGTTCCATTTAGTAACATTATATAGACCATAGTTTAAGAATGTATAGTAGAAACCGCGTGGCGTAACTAGTAAACATTACAAGTACTAACTCAGCGATGGCCCAGGCGATGCCGCAACCCTCGTACGTAGAAGTTCCACGACCTAGTTCATCAATCAGAACTAGAGAATCGGCTGTAGCGTTCTGAAAGAAATTATTAAGTATTAATTATACTTAAAACCACAACATTGAAGTAAAACTTCTTTCGCTCCAACTACCTATATGTAATATATTTTCTTCTTCTACCTGGCAATTTCCCAGTTTTAGCCAGGGTCTGCCTTACATGTTGTGAATAGTTTTGGCTAATTGTTTTTACGACCGGCCGCCTGCCTGACATCAACCTTCTTTTATATATATATATGTTTATATATGTATAATACATATGTATACATATACACATTAATTCTGTACAAATATTTGAATCCATTATAGATTACCATTGATAAATTAATCACATTGATCACACTTAACGCAACGCTTTCGTAACACATTCACCAACTTACTCCCAAGTTTTACTTCAACAATATATACCCTACAAATATACTGTGGGTCACAAAGTACCCCACATATATTTATATAAGATGATGTGTATCAATTATTTTTTGAAGAGAGAATAAATGACTTATTATTATTATTATTTTCGGGAACTACATTCATGGATATAAATCAAGTGAATGCAGTATGTTGCGTGTATTATTTATGTAAATAGTATTTATGTCATTATTATTATTATTATTACCCTCAATATCCCAGCGGTTTCTATCATTTCCAGCATGAAAGTACTTTGTCCTTTTTCCTCTCTATCGCTAGCACCTATTCTAGCGCATAAAGATCTTAGTATTGGTATCTTTGCGTATTCAGCGGGCACGTATGACCCCACGTGAGCTAGAATTACAGAGACCCCACACGACCTCATCCAAGTCGATTTACCGCCCATGTTAGCGCCAGTCACTATGTGCATTAAACTCGAATCTGAAATTTATATTTTATATGTTAATATAACTAATATATAACTGTTACCAAGAAGAGAACTTGTATAATATATCATCATCATTTGTAAATGAATAGCTTTAAATGTTTTCTTTTCATACAGGTAATAGTGCTATCAGGTATTTATTGTGAATCTATTATACATTGTAATCTTGGTAGAATACCTAACAATAAAATTCTTTTCTCTACATATTTCTTTTAATTATATAACATTTTGACTTAGATGATACAATCAATTAAAATATTAATGGTTTTTCTGTAACACTTAAATTATATTTTCTGTGTGTGTGGTTTAAAAGCATGTAATATAAATATGTATACATATTTCGTTGGTGTTCTGTATGTGTATTAATAACGAAGAATATTCTGGCAATGTTAAAATAATGTTCAAATTAAAGAATATGCTAATTATATGACATTTATAAAATGAGCTTACAGTGCCATCTAGCGGGTCAAATTGAGACTGAGTAATTGGAAAATATTTAATTTATATATTTTTTATGTTTTAAATGAGTTATAGGAATTGCAAAACCTATTATAAAATATTAAAAAAAACGAACACTAATATTGAAATTAATATCTTTTGAGTCAAAAAACCTATAATAATATTAATTTAGTCGTTATTTATAAATTGTATTATTATTTTTATACTATTACTATATATTCTATTATTTCGTGTAACCATTCACAGCCCGGATAGCTCAGTCGGTAGAGCATTGGACTTTTAATCCAAGGGTCCAGGGTTCAAGTCCCTGTTCGGGCGGACAACTTTTTTTAGTAAATTTTCTTACCAAAATGAATTATATACTTATTTGAATTATATTAAAAGAAATGCATTTATAATATATGTAAAAAAATGTGAATTCAAAATTTATATACATAAATCTTAGTGAATATATTCGTCAAATTGAGTTTAAATCTGAATATTTTCTTTAACAATGTACACAAATATTCTGGTTTCAATCATTCAAATTAATTTATAAACCGGTACAGAAAACAAAATGATTCGATATTATTTTACTGTGTTAAATAATTAAAAATTATTTTTATAAATCAATTATATACATCCTTACTAATATTATAAATGCGAAAGTTACTCTGTCTGTCTATCTTTTACGCTTTCACGCCTAAACCACTGAATTGACTTCAATGAAATTTGGTACAGACATCTATGTCTAGTTGACCTTGAGAAAGAACAGGATAGTTTTTATCCCAGAATTTTGAAATGTTCTCTTGGAAACGCGATATAACCGAACTCCACGCGGGCGAAGCTGCGGGCGGAAGGCTAGTTAAATATACTTGTAAAGAAATTTTATATATATTGATTATATTACCTCGTTCGAGAACAACATCATTGGGTATATATGAGACACCTTCTTGTAGTTCAAGGCACGGATGCCTTACATCCTTCAATACTAATTCTTGAATACTCGTTGTAAGAATTGGTCGAGTGTATTTTGATGAAGATGTACTCGCTACCACAGACAGCGATACTAGCACATCCAACTTAGATATTATATTGGAGAGGCAATAGAGGCATTCTGAATAAGTGGCTGGAACAAATGTGATAAAACTATTTAATATATATGAATTAATGCTCACTGACTATATTCACCCCTGTAAAGATAGTATCAGGTGATGTATAATGTACTAGCGGCTTGTCCCGACTTCGCACGGGTAGACATAAATAGATACATATTTAAGCTATAAACATACTAATTAGACATTTTATGGCAAATTTTTTACACCTTCGGTTGGTTTTAATAGGAATTTCTAAAGATTTCAATAGTAATCTAGTACTAACTATAGCTTATGCCACACAGTGATAACGAGAATCTTAAACTTATTTTATGGAATTCTAGTTAGTTTTATTTGTTCAGATATTTTTTTGTGTGGATAAAGTCACATGAGCAGTTATTTATATAAAATAAAAAGTGACTAACACATTAATATAGAAATATATACATAAATTTTTACTTTAAACCTATATAGGATTTAAAATGGTTACTTAAGATTATTTTTCCTAAGCCTTCCCTTTCCTCCTTAGGCCCTCAATCATATTTATATGATGTAAATTTATCTTAGAAATATTATAAATACGAAAGTCTGTGATTATGTAATAATGTTAGTTGCTCTTTCATGCAAAATCTACTTAACCGATATTGATGAAATTTAACAGTTATCTAGATTAGACATCAGAATGAGATATAATTAAAACTATAATTTACCCCGGAATTCCGTGTATTTTAAATTTTAATCATAATAGTGATGTCTCATTTGTATAGTGTACGAAGTTACATAGTACACACTACAGATGTCGCTGACGGTTGTAATCACAATGTCTATAATTTTAAACTTTTAACACACATTTCATTTCTCTTTGAGCCGAATTTCAAAGTCTATGCGGACAAAGCCACGTTCGGAAACTAGTGTCAATTTTTTATAAGTATGTGTATATAAAAGAAAATCGTATTAGTTACACTATTTATAACTCAAGAACGGCTGCACGGATTTGGCTGAAAATTGGTGGAGAGATAGCATAGAACCACGAATAGCACATAGGATACTTTTCATCCTATTGAAAAAGAAAAAATAATTAAGTCAATCAAATCCAAAATCTTATCTACTGTGTTCAAGGAGGAATTAAGTTCGCCCGATCGGTTGAAGTCGCGCGCAAAAACTAGTATATAATAATAAACTCACAAGCTATATTAATAATTTCGGCGACTACTTTATCCTGTTCCTTTTCGTAAGTAATTTTCGCCTGTAGGTAGTTCTCAGTGATGTCTCCTAAACTACTGTTCCTGAATCTAACTCCGCCTTTAATGGCATCCACTATTGTGTATTTCTTGTTGCGAAGGTTTTGTTCTTCTTTTAGAGTTACCCTGGAAAATTAAAATACTACATACTCCTGATTTTTCGTTTACTTACAACCGTGATCACGGGCAGACGAAATGATCTCGTTTTAAACAATATTCGTGAAAGTCTTAGATCTAATTAAAATATTGCAGCAATATATATAAGTAATTAGAGCAAATTACGACTGCTTCGTTAGTAACACTTTAGTGTGATAAGATTAATCGATCGTAGTTTTTCGAAGTGTGTTTAAATCTTTCGTTTGTGTTATTTTCAGATTTCATTTAAAGATAATTTTAAATTGAGATAGTTAAAAGCTATTAATTTATATTAATAGTGAAATTTTATCGGATATTATTTAAAAAAAAGTCAATTTTGATCTTGTTTCTAAAAATATATATATTAGTATTGTTGAATGATTTTTATATAATATATTAGTTTGTATTATCTAGTGACTTTTTCATATAGAGAATCTATCATTCAGTAAAATAGAATATTGAAATTTTTATACAAGATTAAAAAAATCCGTGCAAGTTATTTTGACTTCATTTATAAAACCTTTAATATACAAACAAATAAAATTTGATTATCAAAATAACTACCTTAAATATACACATAAATTGTAATTGCATATACTAGTTTTTTTTGCAGTCTTTGTCGGTCTGCCTATTTGTACGACTTTATCTCTGAATCGGCTGGACCGATTTCTATGAGACTTTAATATAAAAACACTTATGTAATATGGAGTATGTTAAGCTATTTAGCCAATCCCTATTAATATTATTAATGTGAAAGTAATTCTGTCTGTCTGTTACACTTTCACGCCTAAACCACAGAACTGATTTTAATGAAATTTGGTACAGAGATAGTTGACCTTGAGAAACAGGATAGTTTTTATCCCAGAATTTTGAAAGGTTCTCTTGGAAACGCGATATAACCGAACTCCACGCGGGCGAAGCTGCGGGCGGAAAGCTAGTATAATATATAATACCTAAATACAAAGCCATGTTGTGTATTATTCTCCAGTTTAATAGTTTTCCCGGCCTCCATACCCAGATCTCTGGCAGCTTTGTTTAATTCTTTCTCAGCAGAGTTTTGTAATTTTTCCAGATCGTTCGCTAAAACTTGTAAATCTTCATCGAAAGATGGCTTTACGAGAAAATCACCTGAAATATTAAAACGAACATTTTAGTTATAGTAACAAAATATTTTATTTAGAATAATAATTATAAGTTTTTAAATGTTTTAACTTCATTAAATGTTTTTCATAGTAATATATATTTATTCAAGACTATAGAGTAGAAAAAAACAAATATTAATAAATACATTTAAAGATTGTCACTTTTTAAGTTAACTATTCAATAGTCTTTTACAATTTGTTCAGTTGAACTTAGTAAAAAAATATACGTTTTTATATTATTTAACTAACAACTTTTATCGTAACTCTTTCGTAACGTAACGTAACGCAACGTAAAGAAATGCAATCAATGAGACACACAATCATATCAAGGATAATAATCCCTACTAATGTTATAAATGCGAAAGTAACTGTTTGTCTGTTACGCTTTCACGCCTAAACCACTTAACTGATTTTAATGAAATTTGATACAGACATATGGTTGTCCTTGAGAAAGAACATAGAATAGTTTTTATCCCAGACTTTTGACAGGTTCTCTTGGAAACGCGATATAACCGAAGTTCACGCCGGCGAAGCTGCGGGCGGAAAGCAAGTTTTTAATAGTTATAATGAACCTCTGTCAACCGCTTCCAGGTCAATGGTAGTTTCAATCATCTGCTGGAATTTTTCCAGGTCGTTGTTAAGTTCTGCAATCGGTTCACATAGCACCGAATGTATCGTGGGGTCGTTGACCTCAGACAGACACTTCAATAAAACTGGAATACGGTTTATTGCCTGGAAATATTAAATATATAATTAACGAGATATATTATTAAATTCTTTTTAATATTGTGTATTTATGTATGGGAGAAATATCAATAAAAAAACTATAATTAATTGCTATAGTGAAGATGATACTTATGACGAATGTAGGCTTCAACAATTTATATACTCATAAAATATTTTATTATAAAATATTTTTCATTTATATGTAATTTTAAATACAATATAATTTCTTCTTCTACCTGGCAATTTCCCAGCTTCAGCCAGGGTCTGCCTTAAATTGAATACAATATAATAAACAATATACAATAAATAAAATTATTATATACATGAGATACTTGTTATTTAGTATTGAACCAGACTTGACAAATAATTACAGATAAAAATCTATCAATCTTGTAAGTTTTTTGATGATTATGATATCATTATTTTTATAACTAGTAATATCACGTGGGTTCACCTGGTATATTCTGTAACAGTCTTGTAAGCCAGCTTTCTTCCGAGCCAGTCTCCGAGCCAATGCTTGTAAGTCCGGCATCCGTCTCAAATGATCTTCATGTAATTGCAACCTTATTAGAACAAATATTATATATTAAAAACATAATTAATGTTTAAAGAATAATTATTTCTTTTTAAATCTTTGCACTTATAAATGTACTAAAGTACAGTGGCGTGTATAGAGATTTGGTGTAGGGTAAGCAGAATGTATTTGAAAAATAAAATACCAATTTTTATCATTTCCTCCTCTACCTAACACATTGGTAATAATGATATCTTTCGCAAGTATTGATTTTAATTTTAAATGAAACTAAAATTTCTATTATTTTTAACGGGCAAACGAGATGACTGTCGTGATCACGGTTGCTGCAAAGTATTCACACATCACAAGCACAGAGCTCACAGCTATAATTTTCCATAATTCGTTAATAAATCAATCCGCTGTTTACTATTAAAACTTATTCATTTGCGCTTAGAAAGACTAATGACAATATTCAATAATATTAAATGGCGGAAAAAATATATGAACATTTTACCGACCTATCAGGGAGCCCCGTTTCATTTGACAATTAACAGACTTTCTACGAGTTTTAAACAATACGAAATAATCAGTGCTTCTCGAACACTATGCGTGTAGATTTAGATTCACGTTTCTTCAACAAATACTGTATTGTATTTCAAAGGATATTGATGAAGCTTAATTTAAGGTAATAGTAGCTCAAATAATGTTATATTTATGGTATATGTCTGAAAATGATCTATAAAAAAATATATTATTTGAATGGAATTTAGTTTTTAAAGAAATTAAAGATTTAATTCACAAAACAAATACTTATTTGTTATAGGATAAAGTTCAATAATGGTTAAAACTAACTATTATATGTGTTATAATCATTGTGTACTTGTGTAGTATTGTAACTGAAATTTAAAGCCTAGATCTTTATAAATTGATCACATACTTGTATATAGATTACTTCTATGTAATGAGAAAAACTATACCAAAAAATATTCTAAAAAGATAATGTGTATTGTTCAGTACAATACACATTATCTTTTTAGAATATTATATCTATCCTAATATAATTCCCAGTACATTAAATAAATATTTGTTATGTTCCAACAGAAAGCTGAATAGAACTAGTATTGTCTATATATTGCCCTGTATAATAATAAGATATACAATATTACTTTTGATAATAGATATTATTAGAGAAAAGTAATACTAGCTTTTAGTCACGACTTTATCTGCTTGGTTTTTAAATGATTAGTTAGATATGCATATAAATGGTAATAAACTGTTAGCGACATCTATCGTCTATGTCGCGTAACTTCTTAGATGAGGTGTTTCAAACAAATTATATGGAATGGAGGGATATATCATAATCTATATCTTATTTTAATATTTGAGCTACATTATTGGAAAGTTTCATCAAAATATGTTCAGTATAGTTTATGGTGAAGTAAAAACATGTTCTAGAATTGTTATATTTAGTATAAAAATAGTATATTTGCCTCATTTGTGAGTTGGAAACCAATAGCTGTACAATATCTAATCGTTCATTGATCAGGTTGATGTCTCTAAGAGGCTGACGAAGCCATTGGCAGAGAAGCCTGGAAATAAAAATCATATTATAACTATTATGAAGTATATTTAAATAATGTCTATAAATACGCTTAATAAAATAATATTAATCGAAGATCACAATTAATAAGATTATCACATAAAGTAAGTAAGAATAAGGTGCAATGAAATATAGTGAGTGAGGCATAAGCTTAGCTCTGTATTTGTGTGAGTGCACACGGATAGTGTAGGTGTGATGTCAAATTTTTGAATGCACATGCTTTTCTAGGTTTGAACCGGTTTATATTACTTTAACTCCGCCCCGCACTTTCCTCACTTCACCTTTTGTACTGGTAGCAATGTTAAATGTTTAAAATGCAATGTCATGTGAAGAAGATTTTGTATACTTGTTTCAACATTTTAATTAATTAATTTTTTTTTTTCTATAATATTCATAATATTTCCATCTTGCGTTTTACAAGTTTTTCTTATCTTATTTTTAGTCTAGAATATCTCTCTCACTTATGTTATGTATCTGTTTAAAATATAATTCAATTTTTTTTTTGTCTAATCTACTTTTACTTTCACTCACACAAATGCAAAGCTCAGCTTAAATCTAACTGACCATATCACAGTTTAAACACAATATCTCCTAAAGAAATTCTACAAAAATTTAGTTTTGTACCCAATATTTAAAATTTCTATTGTATATTATATGTATATTCTTCTTCCTGGCAATTTCCCAGCTTTAGCCAGGGTCTGCCTTACATGTTGTGAATAGTTTTGGCTAATTGTTTTTACGACCGGCCGCCTGCCTGACATCAACCCACTTTGGGAATGCATTAATCAGAGATGTCTAAATACTCTTAGAAAGTACATGTGATTCGGAAAAATCACATTGGTACTTGCCAGGATCGAACCTGCGCCATCGTGCATGAGAGGCAGGCCTTTTATGCACTAGGCTACCACTGAATTGTATATTATACATTATTCCTATATTACCGTTTCCCATGCTGTGTCCTACATCTATCTAGTAATCCGTAGAGACTCCTTGTAGGTGAAGTGTTTGTGTCTCCGAGTTCAGGGAACACATTCAATGCTGAGAGGGCCGAGGAATCCAATTGAAGGTAGTCAGCCTTCACTGAAGATATACGGAACCTGGAATGATTATATATAGGGTGTTTAGAAATAGATTACATACTATATATTATTTTTTTTACATATACATGTCATATATATTATTCCAGAAAAAAACGTAATAAATAAATTTAAAAGAGTCCAGAAATCTGTGTTATTTGATTTTGAATGGCCATATAAATTTTTGTTAGTGATGTCTCATAATCAGTGAATATTTATTTTAAATTAATACAAAATTTTTTGACATGTTCTACCTTAACTTGGTACTAACAAATTTTGATACAGTTTGAATATGCATATTGGAAACTGAATTCAATTAATAATATAATGGATGAACAAAACAAATGACAATTGATTATAATATTATATAGGCTGTAGTTATAAAAAATCATATAATTTAAATGATTATATATATTTTTTTGTTATTTATACTAAATTATACCAAAAGATATCTATGTTTTATGAAACATATCTGTAATTTAAAAAAATGTCTTATTTCCTGTTACGAATAATTGACAATACAAACGTTAATTCAATTAGCAAAAAAGATTTTTATAAGTAATAATGTAAATTGGCTTTTAAATATAGGTCATAGTATGTTTAGAGATGGAATTATCTCCCATTCACAGAATAATTACTTGTTGGAATTATTATGTAAGTTGTATGTAAACAAAAATCATTGATATAGAATATGTAGAACTTTCTATGATTATCCATTACTATATCTGACATCATATATATATATGTATATATGTATATATGTATATATGTATATATGTATACACTGCATAATTGTATGCTTGTATATAATTTCCCTCGCAACTTTGTCCGTACATAATTAACCATACAATATTTACTAGTAAAACTTTAAACATGATCCAAAGAATTAATCCAAGCTTCACAATCATATAAAACGCTGGGTATTTTTCGTTAATTCTCATACAATATATTGTTGAACTTGAACAATATTATATAATAATAAAGACGAAACTTCTACACATTCCATGTATTCACCGGGCGGGTGTCGGGTCCATTGTTGTAGTGAGAGGAGCTTTAACAGTGACTGGGACTTGTGACCCAGGTGTAGGTTTAAGAGGCACCTATCTAACTCGCGTTATAAGCTCACCTCCACGGTCCAAGCTCTTCTCTCTACCTAAACAAATCTGAAACTAAACTACTAGGGCTCTCTTCCAAGTATTTTCCAAGAATTAATTGATGTTAGTTTTGGACAGACCCAAGTCTTTTAGTAGGTTGTAGATAGATTTTGCCGTTATACCTCTCACTCTTACTTTTACTGCGTACAAATTTATTAGAAACCTACTCTTAGTGAGCTCGTAATATTTATTGACCTTGATGGCATGGTCCTCGAGGATATTGGTTTCCCAAGGAACCGTAAGCTCTATCATCACAACGCGTTGTAAAATTCGCTAATATGTCTGGTCTGGAGGCCGACTTACGAATATCCTCAGGGAATTTATATTGTTTAACTACTAAAGATTTAGCTTTAGCTTAGTCTACATATGAAAGATAATTAATAGACCCTGGCTAAAGCTCGGAAATTGCCAGGTAGAAGAAGAACTACTAACATTCTATATTAAACTGGCTTCGAAGTACGTTCTAAGTATAAATTGATAATACCTTCCAAAATTGGTGCTATCGTTTAATAACGAGGTATATCTGATAGCCGCTGCTAGGCTACTCATTGCCACTGTTAATTTAGTTTCTTGGAATCCATTGGCGTCTTTCTGTTGGTTCTCTTTAAACTTGAGGAGTCTGTTCAAATCCTGGATAAGACCTTCTGTCGTGAATTCCGACTTCTTGACCTTCGTTACCGTCACACTCGCTCTATCCATGACCTTCTTTAGGGCTTTATACTGTAAAATACAATTTACACTCAATTTCTAATAGCTGAAACAATGTTTGCGTTTACTTTTGTATTTATATCAACTAGATTTAGTCTCAATATGTAAAAGAACTTATTTGTCGGGACTTATACCTGCTTTTTATAGAAATATAGTATTCAACTGTTGTTAAATCAAATTTACCCTCAATTTCTAACACATTACACAAAGTTTGCTTACTCTTGTATATTATCGGCTGGATGTATAGTTTGAATATGCACAAAAAAAATCAACCATTTATACAATTTGCCTGGATTTGTATCTTACAGGAAAAATAGTGTTCAAATGTTTAAACCAAAACTACCCTCAATTTGCGACATACAATCAAATATACTATTATACATTTAAATAAAACTAATATTTTTTGGATATACAAAGCGACGTCGCGTCCGAAAAACATTAGTTTCATTTAAATGAATAAGACTCGCGAAAATTAGATTATAATGTTGTAGTTTATATATTTTTGTATATATTAATGACATACAAACATACATCGTTATCAGCCAGCGCCACCACGCACTCGGAGGGCGCCACTTGTACCACGATCGACTCTAGCTGAGTGAAGTCAACGTCATCTGTGAACTCCGACACTGATAAAGTGTAATCATTCTGATACACGCACGCTATACCCACCAGGCGACCCTGAAATACGAGGAATAGACATACAGATATATAACATATAGCTATATACATATACATTATGGAGAGAGATTGTCAGCATACATAGTACCTAAAGTATTTAATAAAATTGATATATTAAGAAAAAACGATATAATAAGTAAACAAATGTTAAAAACAAAACTTAGGGACTTGTTTCTCAATGACGAAAACCTGTCGTCATCGTGAAACAAGACCGCAGTGAACTTATAATATTATAAAACTTATACATAGTGTTGATTTACTTTTAGTTTTTAAGATTATGTTGTTATGTTTTTATTTCTTTATTTTTTTGTGAACCATTATTTTTTTAATTTGTATTTGTTAAACAAAATGAGCGCGTCTCACCGTCAAGCCTAATACTCGTAGCTTGGTGAGAACAAAAAAAGTTGTAAAAAAGTTGTTCCGCCCGCAGCTTCGCCCGCGTGGAGTTCGGTTATATCGCGTTTGCAAGAGAACCTTTCAAAAGTCTGGGAAAAAAAACTATCCTATGTTCTTTCTCAAGGTCAACTCTATGTCTGTACCAAATTTCATTAATATCAGTTCAGTGGTTTAGGCGTGAAAGCGTAACAGACAGACAGACAGAGTTACTTTCGCATTTATAATATTAGTAGGATTACTAATGTCATGACGTCTGTTTACTCACAATTTTGAAATTCCTTCGAGAAAATTCATTAATGTTTTAATTTTTTCCATCTTTATATTGTTATTGTAATTTAAAATGTTGATACTTTTTATAACAGTTGGGACCTAACAAGAGATTTAATTCACAGTAAACGATTTAATAAGAATAACCCACATTACATAAGATTATTTGTATTTTCTTGTTTATATGTAAGTAATCAGTAATTGTCGAGTTGAGATAAGACGCATTACACGTTAATGAACTTGTGTATAAATAATAAATTCTTATAAATGATTTTAACAAAACATTGATTTATTTTGTCGCTTTTAGCGAGCTATGGATTTGAGGCAAATTATCATAAAACCAGTATGGTTTTCCTGCATTAATTATATCTTTACAAGAAGTATTGTGATCTAAAGACCTATATTGATAGTCATAACCAAAAAACAGCCTTTTAAAAGATAATTATTCCTGTTAGCTATAGGTTTTTTTTTTGTGAAAGGAATTTGTCATTGATTTTTTAAATTAACAGACCTTACTGATTGCGTCGTTCTTGACATTCATTGCCATCAAGCATGTAGATTGCTCATTGGCGGATCCTAAACCATCGCCGACAATTTCCTCCAATTGGGACAGGTATCCAGGAGAACCTTTATACTTCAGCGACCAATCACAAGACTTTATTGAACCCTCCGACACATATATCTCGACCCTGTATCTCCGTACCTGTGAATACGTTATATCAAAACACCAAATTTAATTAAATTCTAAATAAATAACTTATTAAAATATGTGGATAAAAGCTGTGAGCTGTGACTTTAGCAATAAAATCTTGCATCACAATATCCTTGAAAAGCAATGAATATACGAAATTCTTTGAAATGATTCGTGAATACCAAATGATGTAATGAATTTACCCACCAATAGTAGTTTCCTGATGAGTATCTCAAAGTTTCCTTTCGATAGAACCAAATAGTCTAATTTATTAGGTTCGATGCCCATCCCCTTGATGTTCGATGTGGATGAGAATACTTCTCTGGCAGCTGTTGTAGCATCAGCCCCATGAACGCTATAATACTCATTCCTATGAAAAATACGCACTGTTGTTGGAGGTTTCTGAAATATTAAGAGAATTTGTTAGATTTTTAATAATACAGTTATTCTTCTTCTATTTGGCAATTTCCGAGCTTTAGCCAGGGTCTGCCTTACATGTTGTAAATAGTTTTGGCTAATTGTTTTTACGACCGGCCTCCTGCCTGACATCAACCCGTTTTGGGAATGCATTAATCAGTGATGTCTAAATACTCTTTAATAATACAGTCATTATGGTTTTTCATTTGTTTCTGTTTGAACACGTCAATATGATAAAGAAACGGTTGCATTCTTCAAGATTCCTATATTATTTGGACCTACATATATTAAGCTGTGTACTTGCTAGTGTGTTTGTCTGTATGAAATTATATTTATAGGTAAAAGAATCTATGGTATAAACCTATGTTTTTGGGACCAATCATCTATAATCTAATATTGGAACAAAATACAAATATATGGAAGATAAAGAGTTAAATTTAAATTGTTATAGCTTCTATTTAAAATATTATACATATATGCAAAAGAAAATTAAATATATGATAATTGTTCGTAAGCTTAAATTAGTAATTTTAAACATTTATTGGACACGATAATCGGTCTATTTTGTAGGATCAGTACGGAAACTTAAATTTTTAGAGCTTTTAGTATTTATTAATTGCTTGTTTGTTTGTGTGCGTGCGTGCGTGTGTGTGTGTGTGTGTAATACACTATAAATGTTCACGAAAATGTTGGAAACCGTTTCATTCAGCAATAATACCTACTTATATGTACATTAAAATTATAGTGATAAATAATATTAACGCTAAAAATCCACACAAGTAATACGCATACTAGATTCTTCGAATACATTTATTATTGTATTTATCGTCTCATGAGTAAGAGATATATAAAAATTAAAACAAAATGACTGTTCATGTTGATAAAACTAATAATATTTACACTTTAAAGATATAATTACTAAGAAATTAATGTAAGTAAATATTTATGCACTATTTAAATATATTTTTATACATAGTGTTTAAATTTATAAACGATGTGGGCTTCGGTAATATTATAAATAATTTTGGCTAGAGAGTAATTTTTTTGTTAGGTTTAAAAAAACTTTTAAATATAAGATAAAATAATATTAAATCTAAATCAAATACAATAGGTAAACGGGACTAATACTTTCGTATCTCGTCTGCCTGTGATCACGGTTGCTGAAAAGTAACCGAAGCGTCGGGAGTATGCGTAGTTTTAAATTATAAAATCACGCGTAGTAATACGAAAATATTAGTTTCATTTAAATGAATACTTGAGAATCTCAAATACAGTAAATTGAAGGGTAAAATAATTTAATGTTCAATAATTATAAATAAGAATAAACGGATATTATTATATGCAGATGAATTTACGAGTATTTTCAAGGAAATATACATAGACCCACTAATAGATGTTTGGGTGACAGTCTTGATTTGATAATATCTATACTTATCAAAAGTACTTTCGATCTATGCATAAAAAATGTGCTAAATATATGAGAAAAATAAATATATTTTTTCCTTATATTCTTGGAATGGATACTTGACCTACTTCCGAACTATCAATGTCAGGATTATCAGAAACAGGAATTAATTTATTGACAACACATCATTATTATATTGACCTGATTGTAATGATGGAGTATTCTTAGTTATTAATATTATATATTTAAATGAGATCTAATACTTAAAAGTATTCATTTAAATGAAACTAATATTATTATGATAATTACGAGTATTTTGTTATAAAAAAAACTCCATACTCCCGATGTTTATGTTACTTTTCAACAGTGAATCAGGTAAGCCTAATTCTATCCTAAGAATCAGGTAAAAAACATATTATTTTTCTTATTTAATATATATGTATATGTTTCTGCGTGAGTAAACAAGCTTAGTATGCTCACTAATAGTGACTAGTGTTCTTGAATCTAAAGTTTTTGTATGTTATTATGACATCACACATCGATGTCAACAACAGTCATATGAGAAATATAAGCGATTACTCACGACTCCGTTTGCAATTAAAATTATTTATAGGAAACTTATTATTTGAAATTTAAAATATATTTTGTTGTTCTTCAAAAATATGCTAGCCAAAAAAAGCTTCAATTTGTATGGAAATCCGATATTAAGTATAGGCAAATATTTACTAAGTAATGAGTTGTTTATTATAATTTACATACAGAATGTTATTGTAAATATATTAATATACTTTAGTTGACAAAATGAATCATTTAAAACCACGTTTATAAATAGATGTGCTCTCATATTTGTCATCGTCTTACTATATTAGTCGATCGTGTTTAAAAATTAGATGAATACAGCTGATTCTTAATACAAGAAAAATGAAAAAATTCGCAAAGTCTGTATTCTTGGGACATTTTTGCATCGTGAAAAACGCAGCGTTTCTTGTATTAGCTGACCATAAAACTACATATAATGTGATAAGACGTATGAACGAAATACTGTTAACGCTGCGTGCATATTAAAACTCATACTTGGGTTAAGCGTGGCGATCTAAAAGATTACATTCAATCGATGCCATGGGCTCCAACTAGTGTAAATAATTTATAACAAAAACACGTAATTATATTATGTATATTCTCAGAATATTGATAGTGACCTGGGAGGGGTTATCTTGCGGTTGATATTAAATTAAAACTAAATAAATTGGCCGCCAGTGTCTTCCAATGTCAGTGTTCAACGAATCACTGTAGTGAGCTTTAGTGTCGAAGAATTTAATGTAAGTTTTTTTTGTTCGTGTATTGAATCGAGGGTGATATTTATTTAACCAGTGAAATTTTTAATACTAAAGTTACTAGTTTTATTTATTAAATCAGTATGTATAGCAATAGTCTTTTAAAATGGCATCAGTCTTTCTAGAAGTTTGTTTAAATTACACTGAGTATTTTTTTGTTTTTGTTGTGGAATAAGTATTTTTCGCTATATAAATATATATTTTGAAATTCACTGAGAATTAGTGTTAAATCTAGAAATTTTAAGCTTTGAATAAAATTAAATCGAAATAAAGTAACGCGTAGCTTTCAGAAAATCTTTATCAAAAAAATATATAAAAATTATTTTATTACATAACTTAGAATATTTTATTTTTAACGTTTATTTGTAATGAATAATATTATTTTTATTAATTTAAATTTAAGTTTGATTTACATATAATATATAACATATTTTTAAAAATCATGATTTTAGTGTAAAATCAATATTCGAATAAATATTATAAATAAAATAGAAATAGGTTATAGAATATGTAGAATAAAAATTCATGAATAGCGTAGTAATCGAATCTGCGACTTCTATTAGTATATAGTTAGGATATTATTGAAATTTTACAGATTTTTGCAAATTTTTACTGTATTTTGTTTCACTATACCTAATAGAATATATTATATAACTGCATTTAAATGATAAAAACTCTACAATAGTCAACTAAAACAATTGGTTTTGCTGTACCCAAAATTTGCATTTTCCCAGAATTAATATAAAAATAATGTAACATATTTAATTATTATTTTTCAGATAAACGAGACAGCTCTCAAAGATGAGGCTTCTTGTGCTCGCGGCCTCATTATGGGCTTTGGCATCAGCGAAGCCTGAAATGTACAAGGAAACTGAAGATTTTCAGTATTCGAGAAGCTCCACTGACGAAGGGAGCAAATCAGGATTCTATGGAGCCCAGAGGGGGAATATGGGAGGGAATTACGAAAAAGCTCATAACATGGATTCATTGGCGCAGCATCACATGAGTACTTTAGTCAGACAAGTTGATGGAGAGCTGGGAGAAGGCGCCAACACTAGAACCGGCAGCGTCTACACAGCGGGAAACTCTAGAGGTATTTTCGGTTCAGGAAATTACGATTTGAGCAATCTCAAAGGAAGAAACTTCGGCGAGAGCGGTATTTATGGAGATTCACTTTCACAGTCCATGTACCAGAATGGCTATCATGGTGCCTATGGGTCAAGTAATGCTAGATACGGAAGCGAACAGGCGCATAGTTCGAGCTCAAAACAGAGTGGATACACCGCGTCGAATGTAGCATCACAATATTCAGCAAGTGATGTTGAGAGCGCTAGTAAATATCACGGCGCCAGTAGTTACGACTATGGCAGCCGTGGTGCAAGTGATTTAAGATATCACTCGCTAGTCAATAGCCAGGCCAGAAACGATTACGATCAAAGTAATGCGAACTTGTACAGCGCTTATGACTTGAACAATCAGAACAGACTGATCGCCACACCTGTTAAAGTTTACGCAAGGCCTGGAGGTCTCGTGGCTGTACCGATATCGGCCCAAACATACGCTTTACACAGTGCTTCCTTGCAAGACAAAAATGTTGCTTCTACCTCTTCGAATTCCGCAAGTGACGTTCTTAGTAACAGTGAGACGGATTTAGCTTACAAACCCTCAAGTAGCGCAAAGCATTACGAATCAGCTTACAGTTATCACAAAAAATGGGAAAAGCATGACACGCAACCACTGGCTGTGATCCCAACGGAGAATCCTTTTCCAGCTAACAGTGAGCTCTATGAGGATAGATTAGACCAGACAGGACAACAATATCAAAGTGGATTAGATTCTTCTCGCAGTCATCTAAGCAATGTTAACAGCGGATATTCATCGAATAAGAATTATGAAACCGAAGCATCTAGTCAAGCACAATTAAACAAAGCTAGTAGAGCATATTCTAGTGGCTATTCTAATACAAAATCAGCATCAGCCCACCAAGCAAGATATCAAACTCAGGCTCTAAACAAGGACGCCAGTGTTATTTCAAACGCACACTCTGTGGATGGAAACAGTTTAGGGGAATCCACGTCGAATTTGAATAGTCTTGTAGAAGATATAAACTCTAAACCTAAAAGTTATCACTCCTCATACTCATACCACAAATCTTGGGAAAGGCGGGGAGATCCATATGTAATAATTCCTGCCGGTGAAGCAGGCTCTCAAACATCTCAAAGATTAACAGCTGCATCCAAAAACCTGGACCAATACTCTTCTCATCAATATGGTAAACAATATGATCAAAAAAGCTACTCTGACGCTTGCGATATTATATGCCATCAACGTAGAAAGCGTTCTTACAATATGAAACAATTCGAACAAGATGCGGATGACAGCCAGGCGTATTTAGGACAACAGCTAGAAAATGGTTGGGATTTAGGTCAACAAACTGAAAACAAATTTGAACATTTGGAAGATTTAGGCCAAGGACAAGAGGCACAAAATACATGGGATAATTTGGAAAATTTAGGTCAACAAGAGCAAAATAAATGGAACGATTTGCAACCACTAGGCCAAGAGGTGCAGAATAAATGGGAAAAGTTAGAAGATTTAGGTCAACAGACACAACAGAATTGGGACAGTCTCACTGATTTGGGTCAAAAAACTCAAGATGACTTTGGTCAGCAAACGGAAGACGAAAAAGCAAAACTCGAAGACTTTGGCCAAACTCAGAGCGAGAAGCTAGAAGATTTGGGTCAACAGACACAAAATCAGTGGGGCAAACTAGAAGAATTGGGTCAACAGACAGAAAATCAGTGGAAAGATTTTGGACAACAGGTTCACAATCAGTATGAAAATCTCGGTCAACAAACTCAAAAACAATGGAAAGATTTGGATCAACAGACACAAAATCAATGGGGCAAACTAGAAGAATTGGGTCAACAGACAGAAAATCAGTGGAAAGATTTTGGACAACAGGTTCACAATCAGTATGAAAATCTGGGTCAACAAACTCAAAAACAATGGAAAGATTTTGGTGAACAAACACAGAAACAATGGAAAGATATCAATCAAAAGAATAAAAATCAATGGGAAAAACTTGAAGCTCTAGGACACCAAACAGAAAATCGTAAGTTTAACAGGCAAACTTACCATTAACTTAACACCATTTGACTGTTTATAATACTTGTAACAATATTAATGTATCAAAATAATAATTTAACTATATCGGATCTAAGGTGCATTTATTATTTATAATTTTATATTTCTTTAATAATTTTAACATAAATTTAGTATAAAAATTTATTGAAAATTGTAATAACTAATATAATTAACATAACAATTAATATGTAACATAACAAATGTTGGGTTCATCTCTGCTGAGTTTTAATTCTTTAATATGTATGATATTTAAGGAGGATTTCTTGTAGATAATTTAAAAAACGAAACTGGGGATAATAAAGATTCTAGTCAACATGATAAGAAACCATCAATAGATTCCAAGGAGATAGAAATTAAACCAAAAGCCAAAGAGCATAAGTTCCTATGGGATGAAATAAGCCAAATGTTTGATGAGTCATCAAAAACTGAAACAATTGCCACTGATAACAATGTTAAAGAAAATGAACAGCCTTCATTAGTAAAGCCAAGTGACGAGAAACAAAAACCACTGCCAACTGACACATCATTAAATACATTTGACCAAGACAAACAGGAAACTCCAACACATCCTTTTGGATTGGGTTATCACAGTACTAATTTAGATTATAAACAAATAGAAAATATAAATGAAGCTAATCAAAGACTATTGGATGCTCTTAAAGGACTTTCCAATACACAAAATCAAGGTTTTCATGTAGGACAAGAAAGTGTACAGCCATGGAGTGACTTGGGACAACAAACACAAAACGAGTGGAGTAACTTGGGACAACAAACTCAAAATGAATGGAGTAACTTGGGACAACAAACTGAGCAGAAGTGGAGTGACTTGGGCCAACAAACACAACATGAGTTTAATGACTTGGGACACCAAACTGCTCAGAAGTGGAGTGACTTGAGCCAACAAACACAAGATGAGCATAGTTACTTGGGTCAACAAACTCAAAATGTTTGGAGTAACTTAGATCAATTGACTCAAAATGAATTGAGTGATTTGGCACACCAAACTGCGCAGAAGTGGAGTGATTTGAGCCAACAAACACAAGACGAGTTTGGTAATTTGGGTCAACAAACTCAAAATGAGTGGAGTAACTTGGGCCAACAAACACAAAATGAGTTTAGTAACTTAGGTCAACAAACTCAAAATATGTGGAGTGACTTGGGACACCAAACTGAAAATAATTTTAATGGTATCCACCAACAAACTCAATATCATTGGAACAACTTAGGGCAACAAACTCAACACGAGTTAAGCAGTTTTGGCCAAGAAAATCATAATAAATATAATTATTTAAATCACCACAATTTCAATGAATGGAGTGCTTTAAATCATCAATTCCATCATCAGTGGAGCGGTTCAGGTCAACAGATTCATAAACAGTGGAGTTATCTAGACAATATAGGGTCCCAAACCCCATTCAATGTAGACAAGCAACAAAATATTGGGGACGATAAAAGTAAGTTTAACACAAATTACTTTAACTAAATCACAAAACATCATATATTACATTACATTTTACTAACTATAGATCTTAAACCAATAATTACACTTTACATATCAATTAAGTAAATAACATTTGAATAAAATCACAAAACATACATATTCATAACACTTATAGTACATAATTTCCCAGCAGGCACTTTAGAGGAGAGCACTAAAGCTACAATAAGTAAGAAAAATGAACAAGATAAACAAAAAACAGAACACAATGTTAGCAATAAGGAGACGATAAATATTCACAGTATGGAATCCTTACCAGAAACTAAATCAACTCCAAAAAGTAGTCCAGGACAAGATAAATTAACTTCAACAACTCAGAAACCAATAATAACAACTAGCAAAAAGGATATCGGGCGTGGAGATATTAGTGCGGATGACGATTTTAGTAATTTGGAAACATTTGATATGGTATCTCTATCAAGTACCACGAGGAAACCAGAAAAAAGTGAAGATAAGATTATAGAGAGCCAAAAGTTTGATCGAGTTCCTTTCTTTCCTGTAGAACCAGAAACAGAAAGTCTTCATAAAGAAAGTCAAGGCAGCTTGACTTCCAAATCATTAGAAGATCAATTCACCGAGCAACAGAGTGCTGCTAAATCATTCGAAGACCAGTTCACGGATCAACAACAAAGCCAATTTGAACAACAGAATGTAGATTTACAACAGAATCTTCAAAACTGGGATACTGGTATACATGAGACACAACAGATTTATAAAGCAGATAATGCACCAATCAGCCATTCATATCATCACGAGCAACTCGGAAGGCATTTACCTAATGAACCTCAGCAAGAAGTTATACAACAACAAAACCTAGAAAACCTAGATCAGTTCGTAGAAAAAGAAAACAAACATGATAGCGAAATAAAGGCGACTACAGAAAAAACTATTCAAGTCGAAACAACTATGGAACCAACAACAGAAAAACCTGGATTCTGGGGCTCGATTGTGAACAAGACTAAAAAAGCGAAAGATACTGTAAGTTCATGGTTTAGAGGGTAAATTTATGGATGTATGGTAGAAAATTATTAGATATTTCCATGTGGTTGAATAAAGTATTATATTTACTTTACTTACATCAGGTAAAGTGTGATAGTATTTAATGAATGCTTGCTGTTGAACAGAATCTGAAAAAATAAAATTCTGGTTAAAAATCAGATCGAAATGTAAAAACCAAAGAAAAACTTCTTATGTATGCGATTATCTTATAACTGCATAATTATTAAAGCAGTGATAATAAAACGAACTCGTAAATTATGTTAATTATATAGTTATATATAAATTGTGAGTTATCGCTTATAAGTGCATAAAAATAAAAAATATTTTAAATATTAAAACTTTTTTTTCTTACCCAAATTTAACGCATGTATTGGTTCTAAAGCAGACATGATGGCTATGTTTATTTTAAACTATTTTTAATAATATTAACAGCTATAGGGTCTATAGGTCATCAAATTCGTAATAGAATCGATAAAACTTATAATTATTGAAGTTACAAAAAATGCGCGCTTTTAACGGTGTTGTTATATAATGAGATTTTGACGTTGACAGTAATCTAAATCAGAATCTAATTCGGAAAGAACGATCAAAGCCACGACAAAAATAATATCGCTTTTGCAAAATTTATTAGTAACTATAATATAACAAAATACAACACTATCAGCTGATATTTTCTTAATTATGCAAACAAATATATAATTGAGCTACGAGGAATGTGTGAAATATGGCAACATTAGTACAATCAGCTCTATAAAGCAGTAGGCAATTACTACAAGAGAAAATAAATCAGTTATTCCATCTTAGCTATAGCTCAGATTACTCAATGTAGCAAATTATACAAACATGTCATCCTATTTTACTCGTTTGGAAAAATAAAAAAGTAAACTGAATATTTTATTTAACAGTATTGAAGACCCAGAAATATATATTTAATTTGTCGTTTGTAACAAATTACAAAAGCAATGGTCTAGTCTCGTCAGGACTGTAGTCCTAGCTAAACTATTGACTATATAAATTTACTCAACTGGGCTATCCTTTATATTTAGCATTTCTCTTTAAAAGCTGGACTTTTCCAAATATAAGTTTAAGAATCATTATCTAAATCACAAAACTTCATAATTAAAATATGCAATCATAAGTTTATTTTATTAACTACAAATTTTAAAATAAATTTAGTATACTTCAGGAACCATTTATTTCCAAAGATGGTACTGGTATGAATTTCGAAACAACTGTTTACTTGGCATTTTACCGTAAACACATGACACTGACAGCTCTCCTGTATTGACTTCTCGTTGGTTGTGTATAGACAGTTAACAGTAATTGGATTTTGTTAAAATTAAGTTTTGTTTGTGCTTAATATGTTAATTTTTCGATGTGCGCTTATTGTGTTATCTTCTACTTATATTTTATCGTAAGTTTATCTGTTCTAAAATCGCTATTGGCTTGTTTTTTTTTTAATTTTTCAATAGTTGTATATTTCTCTACTATTAATTTATATATATTTTTTATTACTAATATTTGATCTCTCTTTTTTTATTTAATGTGTATTATAAATGTAAAAGACGTACATTTTAAAATTATATAAATCTAGTACATTATATTGTTAAGTAAAGTAATGCCTTTCACTTTAACTATTTTTTTTTCAGATTATATACTCAACTGATAAACGAAACTGATTTTTACGACACTGGTCTGGCCTTAATGTACATTGCCAGTGGAGCATTAGGTGAGTTTTCTTTTAATTTTAACTTTATACTTAATATTATTATGTCTAAGACTATTTAAATGTACAGAAACTTTTAATAATATTAATTTGATTTATATACTAAAATATAAGTTACTCAAATGTAAATCCATGTGTGGTTCAACTTCCTATTACTTTGAGCTTTCTAAGTGGTATACATCTATTATTAATATAAAATTCATTCATAAACTAAATTTTTTATTCCATATCAAGTCAATTCATTAATTTCCTAAGTCAATACACTATCTATCATCAGTACAACTAACTAACTATTATCAATAATTTTGTTTCACTTATAAAAACCATATTTCTTTAACAAACTCCATACTAATCTCATAATATTTCCTGTGCTAACAAACAATTTTTTCAGCTGGAAAAATCATTTATGACAGATACCAGCAGATAAATATATTAGGTTCGTTAACAACAAATCCGAATGTTACTTCCTTTGCAAATAGGATAGCTACGTTCTCAGCTACTTTAATGTGTTTGGGCTTCCTCATATATTACTTTCTGTTCCTATATAAGGTAAGGAATATAATTATTACCATCAGGTAATATAATATTACTCAGACGACAATTTAAATGAAACTAATATTTTTTGGATATACTACGCGACTTTATTTTTGATAAAAACTACATACTCCAGACATTTCGGCTACTTTTCAGCAACCATGACCACAAGCAGATGAAATGAAGTCAGTATGTCATTTTTATCAAAAATAAAAAAATAATGTTAGTTTCATTAAAATGAATAAGACTGAAATCTTAGATCTCATGATAATATGATGATGTTGAAGCGTTTGACCTAATTTAGGTTAATGTGAAAGGATGTTACATTAGCTTAATATGTGACTCATTTCATATGATGATATTATAGGGTACTTTGAAGTGACAAAATAGTTATTTAAGTCTCATAGAATTAAATATCAATATATTTATGTACAATTATGTACTGTAGTAGTGCATATTTTTGTAATAAGTATCTGTAGGACAATCATGATTGAAACTTCTGTGACATTAATTAAAATTATCATTTATTTTAGTGCAGATTAAGTAGAAATTATATAAAAAATTCTTTTGTAAACAATTTATGACAGTAAGCCTTCATGTATTAAAATTATTTTCTTTCCAAATCTAATTACATAGTTTAAAAATATATGTTCTTAAATGATATTCAATTTCAAGTTATTATTTCTGATAGTATAACTATAAAATATTATAATACATATTTTATTGTATTCACAATAACTTGTTAATTACAGTCCGTTAATGATTAAACTGGTTGTGTAACATTTCTATTGTGCATCCATCGAGACAAGATAAACTTTCAAAATAAACTGTTTTGTAATGAGTTACAATATTTCCTATTAAAGATAGTTTTTATGTTACTACATATAATGTTAAAGAAATAAAATCTCTTTTACACCTTTCAATTTACTTTCACTATCTTCAAAAGCATTTAGGAAATATTAAAGATATGAAAATCACAGTTTAAACTAATTTTCTAACTCTGTTTTTAATTAAAAAGTATAGATTTGGATAAAAAATATTGTTTACATTTTTTATCTTCTCTCGTTAGCCATTAGTTATCTAGCGAAAATTTGCATTGCCACATTGTCATTTACGAAGCGTTTCCCGTTTCACGATATACAAATAAAACTCTTAACGCACCGTCTGTAGTGTGATGTTTCGAACTTGTGGTAAGCGTTCCGTAAATAAAAACGAATAAAGAATAGTTATGTTACCATTTTAGAAGGTGCAATAAGTTTTCTTACTAAAGAAATAGGTTACATCATTGTTGTTAAATTAATGTATAGTATTTTAAGTCTTACTTAACCAAGTGTTGTCAGTGATTTTATATGAAGATATAATTTTGTAAGTTACATAAAGTCACTCGTATTTCCTTTCACTCCGTCAGCTTTGGTTTCTGTGGTTTTAATATTATAGTTATTTATACATTGGTTTTATTATTGAAGTATATTTTATTGATAGTTTTTCATATTTTAGGTGGATGAACAATGTTTGAGGGCGTTGAGTATATTTATATGTGGCTTTGGAACTTTGTACATTTGGGTGCAGGTTAGTATTATATATGAGACGAAATCTCATATCATTTCATGTATTCACGGTGCGTGTGTCGGGTCTATTGTTGTAGTGAGAGGAGCTTCAACAGTGCCTGGGACTTGCGACCCAGGTGTAGGTTTAAGGGGCTCTATCTGACGCGTTAAACGCTCACCTCCACCGTCCAAGCTCCTCTCTCCACCTAACCAAATTTGTAAAGAACTTAGTTATATTTCGTTACAATTGTCGGATATCACAATCCGATTATATCCGAACGAAATTTATTTAAACCTAATGAAAATTTATTCAGCGTTCAAGAAATAAACGCTTAAAGATCTAGAAAGTTAATTGTGACTGTTAAATTATAATGTGAAAGTTAATTTAACCTAATATCATTTGAAACAGTTTTGTAGTACAAATTGTTGCCAACATTAAAATTAAATAGAAATAGCGTCTCAAAAGATTTTTCTTATTAATAATATCGGTCTTGTAATAATTTTTTATAACTATAGTTGTAAGTTAATTGTTTTTCTTTCAGTGCATCGTAACAACATATATTTCTACACTATTCTATGATAAGCGTTTAACTATATTGAGGCAGTGTCTGGCTAACGTGAGCTTCCCAATATTAATAGTTTTGGCTGTGTCCGGGACACTTACATCGTTTTTACCTGAAGGTAAGATATAATATAGTGTATATATAATACATAATTAGGTGTATGTTACCAAATTTTACCATAGTTTACTCAAGTTTATATTGTATTTTCTAGACCTTAAAAAAAATAATGACAGTAGGTATTATAAGCTACATATTTTTTTATTTGACATAGATTAGTTATTTGATGTATAAATTCATCTTCTCTGCTCAATTTTCTTCTTGCCGAGGTTACAAGAATAATAAAATATGATTATACTTATATGAAAATAAAACAGACATACAAACAAATATTAACTTGTGTCAGTGTATATATATTTAAATGAAAAGTATTCCGACAATTTTATTAAACTAGATAAACTTAAGAGTTCCAAAATAGCGATACTCAGAAAGAATGACTCGCGAAAAACAATAAAATTAAATGTTTATCATTTTTAGGTATATATAATCATTAAAATATATCTAAGTATAAGTCAATTGAAACAAATTGTGTGAAATGTAATATCAATATCAAACAAACATTTATTTTGTTATTATTGAAGACAATAATTACCACGTCTCTATCTTAATGAAAGTTTATATAAATGAAAAACTGAAAACTGTTGGTTTTGATGATAGACTCGTAGTTAGGGAATAGTGGACATGTTTCTTGTTGAGAAGGCAAAGAGTTTACACGAGAATAGTTCGCGTTTTCTTTGGAAGAAAGCTTTTTAATTTTAAATGAATTCTGGTTGTTCATTTGCTTGGGTAATAAAATTATCCTGTAATTTTTAACGTATCAAATTATTGAGGGGATATTTATTAAATATTCTATTAATATTCTAGAAGAACTAGTTTGGATTTACCCTTTTTGTCCAAACTATATATATTTCGTTGATTCTATGTCGATATTGGATCCGAAGTAGAAGCGTGATTTTATAGGCCACAGCTTGAAGAACACTTGAAAAGATATCGGGAGTCGATTTTTAGATTGGATGATCGTAAATTATTGGATATTTCAAAAATGTTCTGAGTCTATGAAAATATTAAAAAAGTAAGATATAATCATATTAAGATAAAAGTTAAGAAAAGGGAATTTTTAACATTTTTTTATAATCCTTCCGTTTTATCGTGGAAAAAAATAATAAAACGATTATAATTGAAGCAATTAGTAATGCTTTTCTGTGTCGATAATTTTCATCCACAAATATGGTACTTTCAACTTATAAGTAGAAAAACAATGTTTATTTATAGATCTTGTTGATAAAGAAATTGTAAGAATACTTGCTCGCATCTACGGATTTGAAGAAGCTCGACAACTGTTGTCATTTATATTTATAAATAGAAGAGGCTATATAAAGACACTTTCATATAGAGACATTATCAGAGATTGCTTTCAAGAAATATTATAGCAGTGTATTATGAACTTATATTAAGATTTATCCTATTTGGGTCTTTTGAGTTTGATATTTGAAGAAGATTTCAAGCCCGGAATATTTGCATCATAGATCTTGTAACTTTTTGGTCAGTGTTGGACATAAAAATCTTTTTTAATTAGCTCAAAAATTTTAGCTTTACTGCTCTGAAGCCATTTAAGATGAAGTTTAGTTGCCTTCAAAATGGATGATAGGATAGTGAGAGGAGATAGATTTATTCATTAGTAGTAAAGACTTTGGACAGAGCGTTGGTAAAGCGACAATTAGGTTACCAAAGTAGAAATAAGTTCACCTCATTTATTAACATTTCTAAATGTATTTTTTAATTCAATTATTAGAATAAAAAGAAATTTTATGGCTTCCAGTTATTAATAATACAATTTTTGTATTAATTATAAAATATGGACATTATGGATTTGTAATATTAATATATGGATAACTCAAAAATATATATATTAAGTTTTTCAAATAGGTATACAAAAACATATTTTATAAGTATGTATATACTGTGTTTCTTAGTATATATACCTACTTATATACTTTATTTGGTTATTAAACATAATGTAATTATGTGCATGCGATTATGTAGGAAGATATACAAATTGAATACTAAATAGAGCATAAACATTATTTGTATATATTGTATACTGTTTCAAGGACAAACATATAAGATTCATTAATAAGTACATAATTACATATATCTATGTGTGTGTATGTGTGTGTGTGTGTGTGTGTGTGTGTGTGTGTGTGTGTGTGTGTGTGTGTTTATATGCTTTGTGTAGACGTACACGTATAATATAATAAATAAATAGTATTATTAAATAGTTTTATACATATATGTCTAAATACGTGAATGTCACTGTACAATGAATGCGTATCAAGTCTTAACACGGCCTACTTAGCACCAAGGCTGATGTACGTAGAGAAACTCATTGTGTATCAACTAGATAATACATCTTGATAATAAATAGAACAATATTAATGTACAATGTACTGAAACATGTATTAAACGTACGTGATAAATTATATTAAAAAATAAAGAAGATATATATGTACTATTATAATTAAGTTATTATTACATAAATTAAATACATGTGTCGGATTTTAATGGTATTTATTTTTTATATAAGTAATTGAACTTCCAAGTTAATATTGATTTTCAGGCACTTTCAACAAGTAGTTTTATATAAATGAATACAAAAAATTAAGATACGATTGTATCAAATATTTTGTAATTACAGCAGAATTAATTGCAATACAAATACTGTTATTTTACTAATAAACATTTATATATACATTGTATGTTTTGAAAAGTCTTATTTTATATAAGAATATAATATAAAATCATAGACAAAGAGTATGTATTGTCAATTAAAAAAAAAGCGCAAAATATAATCTTTAATATGATCTTCTTCTTCTTCGTCCCTGGCAATTTCCTAGCCCTAGCCAGGGTCTGCCTTTCATGTTGTAAATAGTGTTGGCTATTTGTTTTTACGACCGGCCGCCGGCCTGACATCAACCCTCTTTTGGATTTAATCTTTAATATGATATTAATTTTAATATAATCTGTATTAAATTTTTACAGATGGTGTCGCAGGCCGGGTATGTAAAGTTACGACATCTGTCTGTTTTTACACACTGACGACCACATTCTGTATATATATACTGTCGTTTGAAAAGGAATACAAGTATTTTTCAGAGGTATGTAGAATATTTTTTAAATAATTATTCTATGTTAATTATAATTAATTATACATATTACTTTTAATTAATCTTTATATAAAATATGCGTTCGGAAATTAAGTATAAGAAATCTTTGTTATGATTAGTAGGGCTGTCTGTTTTAAATAACAATATAATTTAATTATGTTAAATTACTAGAACATTAAATTCCGCATAGATTTCAATTAAATATTCTCACTGAATTATAGTTAGTGTTTTAGTAAAATATATTTTTTTTACAAATAATAAAAAGATGCAAATATTGATGTTAAAGGTTAAAGACAATCGTTAATATATTTTGTTTATTAAAAATATATCTTTAATAATTATTATCTGTAAAGCACTTAGCATCAACGCTGTTTTATATAAACTCATTTTAATGTAGATGTAATATTTGCTAATAGAAAGACGTGGGCGTCATATTTCTAAACGATTAGAACAAATTGATAAATATATCTATTTTGGGAAGTAATTTAAAAGTAAAATTATTTTTTAATATTATTTTATATTATTTGTGCTTTCATAGTGAGAGTATGTCATGTATTATGTTTTAATGAAAATCTATTTGAGATCATTTGACCGTAACTGATTTGGTGAAAATATATCGTGATTATAAGAATCTTGTTCAATGGATATTAATAGTTACAAGTTATGACTGAAAGAATTGTTGTATTTACCTAACAATATTTTTTTCTGTTGTCACACTATCTAACTACTATGTACCTCATGTACATTATTGACAAATGAAAACTTCTCATATAAAAATACATCCAATTATAATCTAAATTACTGTTAATTCCAGAAAAATATATCTGCGACTTGAAATATATCGACTTTAAGATTTTTTTATGCAAATTTCTCTTAATATTATACAAATTTAATACATCTTTTTTACTTCCAGGGCTTGAGATCAGAGCTGTTGTTAGATGACGGTTGTTCGTTGAACAACTCGTCAGTCGACGATGAAACTGTATTAATAAATCAGGAGCTTATATCTAACATAGTTATAAAAAACACAATAAAATATGGTAAAGTATCCTGACCCGCGGCCGTGCCTGGCAAAGGCACGGGCAACACTAAAAACTATGGTAGCTTCGATAAGCCTAAAATAAAAATTAAAACCATAGACAATCTAGATCTATCGCCCGCGTCAACCGTTGACAATGACAGCGGCATGTCATCCGGCGATAATTCATTAAAGTGTGTATATAAAAGTGATATTCCTATAAATAATGATAATAACGAAATAAAGTGCCTAAATAATGTATGGAATGAGATTCCTAGCTGTTCATACGATGTTAAAGATAATAGGGAGAGTATGTTAGAATCTGAGTACATTGTGATAAATCTGTTCGAAAGTGATGTTTGTGATAATAAATGTGAGTTGGTTGGTACAAATATATATGATATAGACGATGATTCCAGTATACTGAGTGTTTCCAACCAGAGTTTAGTTCCTGTAGCTAATAGGGAACTTGTTAAATCGGAAAGTCAGAAATTAGTCAGTCTGTCACTCTCGATATTATTGGCGGCAATATTACAAGCAATGAGATGTTTCGCCCAATTTTTAGAGGACATCGTGGCACCACAGAGACTATGATTGTATTTTTATCCACTGTATCAATAAAATATATGTTTAAATGTATCGTTTTATTCAAATGAAACACTATATATAATAATAATTTAATAAAATAGGAATACACAGTCTAATCTACAAATAAATTATGAGGTTACATCATTGGTGAACTATTATTGTCATTTCACTACAGCGACGCTTCGTTTATCACTGTTATCAATCTGTTATTAGTATGGCACTTTTTCTTAAACTTGATCGAGTTCCGCCTGTGTTCGGGGGTTTGATTCTCCGGTTGCGGCGAATTTGTGTTCGACACAACGATCGACCAACGCCGACCTCGACGCTCGTTCAGATTAGGCAGTTCAGCTATCAAATTGTTTTCATATTCGCTTAACATTAAATAGTTTTCAACCTGTGAAATCAGATAAATATTAACTATTACCTAACTGGTCAAATACATGAAAAGAAATTTTCGTTGAAACGTTGTTTGGTGCTGAAGTTACTATAAAATTAGTCAGGTACAATACCTGAAAATCAAAACCAAGTACAGCTTTCTATTTGTATAAAACAAAATTAATTCGTTTACGTTTCAGTTTCTTCTATTTAAGTAATTACTTGTCATTACAAAAATGTACAATAAATATCTTTAAAAACTAGTATAGATAACAAAGTATATACCTTATTACAACTAGTAATACAATCTCCCCCGCAGTCTAGATCTTCAAGCAGGTGTTCAGGTATATCTAAGTCTAGGTCTAAGTCTAGACCGCCTTCCTCGCTGATGCAGGTCAATTCAGGCGGAAGATTTGGGGGAGGTGATCCTAAACTACCAGGGCCGATATCTAGCAGAATATCCCGACGGCTTCCCGGCGTCACTAATTCAGCACCTAGTATTTAAAAACATCGATGAAATGTATAAATTATAAATATTTATTATCTGTGATATATACAAGCAAGTATAGATACGTAATTCAATCGAAATTATAATTTGTCCAATAAATAAAAACGTTGATATGGGTAAAATATTCCACGATTCCAGTACGAATGAATCATTAGTTTACAAAAATGATCAATTGTAGGTAGTCATCTCCTTTACTGTCATACAATAGTCTATGATCATATTGTATAGCCTATGATTATACTACAATCACGCTCATTTTTCGACTGGATTATATAGCACTAGCTGTCCGCCCGCAGCTTCGTCCGCGTGGAGTTCGGTTATATCGCGTTTCCAAGAGAACTATTCAAAAGTCTGGGATATATCTCTGAACCAAATTTCATAAAAATCAGTTCAGTGGTTTAGGCGTGAAAGCGTAACAGACAGACAGACAGAGTTACTTTCGAGTTTATAATATTAGTAGGGATTTATGTAACTTTGTAAGTGTAATCAATACTAGTTTTGTTTCGTACTTAATGCGGTGGCGCCGGCGACTCGTTGTTCGGACCGCGGCCGACCTCGTGGTGGGCATGTCGATTCGCACGATTTGCCGCCGTTTTCTCTGCGAAATATTTCATTAAAATGTGTCAGTGAAGTTAAATAAAATAATTCATTATTAATACATTGAATATAAACTACGGAGCGTTTTGCTTTTGATTTAAAGAAGGAATAAAATGTGATGACCAGACAATCAATAAGTTATTTTAATTAAAAATTTCTTCATTCTGATATTTTAATCTTGAGACGCTATGTCTGTTAATTAACAACAGTTTGAAACATCGTTTTATAGGTACTGTTGTTTTTAGACGCTCTGTTAGGATTTTAATCGTTTTTCCGTAATGCTGTTTAGTAATATATATTTTCAAAGGATTCGGAAAATTTGCCGTGTTTTCCATAGATGATAGACCTACCCAAATCTTTTACAAACTATACCTATTACACGTACCAAACAAAATAATGAAATATAATTAATTAATTCACATATACAATTAACACATAGCTTTCTTAAATAAATATTTCAACACACAATTTATAAGATATAAAAATAATCTGAAATAATTCAATATATTACGTAAAAGCAATGAGTTTCAACTAGATAGTGACTTACTTGGTGTGTTTATGCGCAACGCTGCGGCGATGCAAGTCGATGCAGAACAATGAAAGTGAACCAATTATCGAGCAAGTTGAACTGAAGTAGTAACCAGCCTTGCCGCCGCAACCATCGTTGATGTAACCTGGAATTATTAATTAAATAATTGTCACGGCTCTTAAATATGTGGGTTCTTTATTTGACATACTATTTCGTTTCGTCACAGTACGTAATGAATTTTGATAGTACTTTCTAATGCTATTCGTGATTTTGCGGAATAATAACAAGACTAATACTGAGGCTAAATTAAAAATTAATTATTAAAGTATTGAAATCATATTGTGTATATGCGTATATTGCAAATTTTGAGGTACCTGATAGAGGTACACCGATCGCAATAGGTACTGCTTGCGAGCACTGTACGAAACCCCACGTGCGAGCAAAATTGCGCGACCTCACGCGTTCGTAGGTGTACATTTTGAGTGAATAGTGGTAACCTCCGCAGAAAATACCTATAAAAAAAGTCCTTTGTAGAAAAAAAAAATATGTTTGACTATCCATATATTTCAAATTGACTCTGAACTTGGCAGTATCATATTTAATAGATTAAATTAATATAAAATCCTATAAATATATAATAATAATGTATTACACGAACCATAAACCCAAGCGAACATAACGTATCCTCTATAAGACCCCTCGACTGCAGTTAAAGCCATAGTGGCAAGAGCACATCCAAAGACTGCTGCTTGTGTGAGATACTGCCGAGCGATACGGCACTCCGCGCTGTTCTGACGCACCAACAATCCGAATGCAGCACATCCTACCGCCCACGCTAAACCTAAATACGCTTGCAGCAGTTCCGCTGTATCACCGAGACCTGAAAGACATTAATATATCTTTGAATGGACCTTAAACTACGGTTCTAATTTGCTAGATAGATGTTAGCTTTGGAAATATTTGAACAATATGTTAGCAATCTCTATAATATACAATTTTTAAGCGAGTTAAAAAAGGATAAGGTTGTTAATTCGTCTTTTTTTGGGGATAAAAACTAAACGAAACTCTTTTTAATTAAGCTTATTGCTTACTTGCTTATTCTTCCTAATAAAACGGATAGTTGTCCTAAAATATTTTAATTACCTTCTTCTTCAGCATGATAGGCTAAATAAAATATCGGCGTGTTGATCCCAAACGCCGATATTCCAGTGGACATGAGCAGGATCCTAACGGTCTTAGATTTTAGAGTGGAGAAATCAAAGAAAGGCTGTCTATCATCAGCCTTATTCCTGTCCTTCATTTTCCGCTTGATTTTGTTTTGGTTCTTGAGATGAAGTATCGCTCGTCTTTGGGGATGGTATAAAGAAGCAGAGCGATAAAACGTGCCCAGAATAAATGTCACGAATACCACTCCCGTCACTGCCTGAAGTCCTAGACGCCAACCGATAGCTCTGGAAATAATAAACATATGAGAAAAGAACTAATTCTCATTGATAAAAGTCATCGTACAATGTAAGTGTAAAGACAAATTAAGGCAGTCTACTAAACAAATAATTATTTCCTGCTATCTTCAGATGTATAGTAACACTGAAGTAATAAAATGTTTTGTATAGTCTTGATGGCACAGTGGTTAAAGGCCCGCTTTTCATGCACGAGGGCGCGGTTTCGAAACCTGGTAAGTACGGGATTTTTCCGAGTCATATGTACTTTCTAAGAGTATTTAGACACCACTGACTGACGGTGAAGGAAAATATCGTGAGGAAACCTGGACTTATAATTTCCAATTATAAGTTTGAAATCACCAGCCCGTGTTTAGCAAGCGTTGTGATTAATGCTCAAACCTTCTCCATGTGAGAAAGAACCCTTTGCTCAGCAGTGAGCTTTGATAGGGTGATGATGTAATGATTTATGAACATGAAATTTCTGTTTGGTTGGACCGATTTCGAATAAATTGTATTTGTTGATGTTACGTACCTGATGGCCCCTTTTATAAATGTGGACATGACAGCTATTCCAAGACCACTCCCGCTGACGATAAATATCTCTACCAGTTCCCGCCGCCTCTTGAAGTACTGCGCCACCATCAGCGTTGAGCAATCCCTTGTCAAACCAACCCCTACTCCTACAACCGTACCTGAAATCGAAGCAATGATATTAAAAACCTTAAATTAATATATAGCTCTCAAAAGATCCCTAAATTTGGAAGTATAATATTGTTTGTAAGTACTTGTATAAATATTTATATCCAACAAACTATTGGTATTAATTCCAATCAGAATAAATGTATAGTTTACCTATTCAAATTGACATTGCTTCTCCGAAAAGTCCTTCGAATTTCTACTAATAACGCAGGGGAAGGAAAACTAAATCTTGTATGTGGTACATTTAATTTCAATCAAGACTTAATTATGATAAAGCTAGCATATATCCTTAAAAGCTTAATCGCCCTACCACGATTAAGATTCTCAATTTATCATTTTGTCCCAAGTAAGGACTCTACAAAGTAAATACTATAATATGTGCACGTATGTAAATATATACATACCTACGTAAAGATGCGTACATAAGTAAGAAAACTATCATGCAGAAAATGAACTTTCCATTTGACTATCTTTGAAAAATTCGTGGTTTCAATGTGTATAAAAACAAATAAAAAGAGTACAGTTGAAGTTTCTTTTATAAAATAGAAGATTTTCACTATTCAAAACAAGAAAAAGATTATTCGCAATTATTTTTAAATTTTATTTAAATAAAATAATGTTTTGCATACCGTAAAGCAAATTCCTAAACTTCTTTCAGAGACGTGAACGTATTTAATGAATTGTTATACTTGGAAAATAAGGAACAAAACCTTCTTAATGAATTCCTAGTTTCTAGCAATCATTCGCATAAGAAAGAGTAATTTAATATTTCAAAGAAACTTTAATAAATTTTATTTATAAAGAATTGTATTTTAAAGACTGTAACCGTTATGCTATCATCATTGATAATAAAAATGCACATTATTTAAATATTCTCATAAACAAATTTTGTTTATTTTCACCGTCGAAATTTATAAGTCGATAAATTAATAGAATCAATAAACGAACCGCTTATACTGGATTTCTTTCAAAATTATTTCTTCACAAAAATAAACAAACGTCTCATTTAGAAGATTTTATTCAATTTTATTAAAATCAAAATGAATTTAAAACCGCTATATATTGAACTGTAACAAGTGTGTTGCCATAAACCTGCCTTCAATACATTCACGAGAATCGATTGGAAGCAGTGAAATATATCGAAAGAATCGTTCTGGACATCTTCGTTTACCAGAAAAAGAATTGTAGAGATTAGTGAAGGAAACGTTTAAAATATACCTACTATAACAAAAAACAAGTACTTAGCTAGTGAAAGAACTTTTTGATTAATTTGACTTTTTTGTACGGGTTTTAAGGAAGCAAAAAAATTTTAATACTGAGAATATTAGGAAAATTATATGTTATACTTGTCACATAATAAGAATCACTTAACATATGTCGAAAAAAATAATAATGTTAGATTACAATTACAAGATATAAAATATCGTTTGCCAGTCGATGATGCGACCTAAACAAAAATAATAAATTTAATATGTCAAACCGAGTATGTATAATAAAATAATAAATAATTTTTAAAGTACGGAATCTTTCTCGATTAACGTAATATTAAAATTAAGTATTAATTCTTCAATACTTCATTCCCACTTCATATTGTGACATCACAATTATAAAAGGCGTACATTATCGATAGGATATAACATAGATTTTCACCATAAAAAGGGGTTAGCAATACACGTAGATACAAGATGTCAGATGATGAAAGATTTAAACATATAATTCATGTGTCTACAAAAATATATTATGGGTGCGTATTGTTAGATTTGAGTTGGCAAAAGCGTTAGGCAAATTCACAAAGTACTGAATTATCCATTACCCATTGAAAGACGAATATTATTCCAACATTGTACCTATTGTATGAATGATACAAACTGCACATCATTTCCTTTTCCTAATTCCATTGAATGTACGCTAGGATTGTATCAAAATGTATATCTTTTAGGACACTGAAATGTTCCTTATAATTCAAAGATCGCGGTCTTTTACGATTGGATTTATTTTTTAAATTGAAACATTTGGTTTACGGTCGGGATTTCAAAATGTTTATTTAGCGATGTTTTTCCTCAGCTTTGATATCCCTCATGTATATTTTATTTGATCCGAGATAAATTTAAATAAGTTATCGCTTGAATTGACTCATCCTAAATCACTTCAACACCATAAAAACCAAAGAGCTATGTTTAGTTTGTTAAGACTTAAGCATTAACAATTTATTTAAAAATAATATTCTTGTTCCATAACAGAATATCAAAGCATTTATTTTGACAAGTTTAATTGAAACATATTTAATATATGGCTATTTCCTGTCATTTAAATATCTCTGTAATTAAATTGTGATTTATATTTTGAATAATAAATTTAAACAGCAATGAAACGTCATAGTTTATTACTAAGTTCAATAATATCGGTTGGATCATAGCAAACTGGTAACGAACTTGGATTTAACCGGCAAAGTGTCTCAATTTAAATGCAAATACGATCTTTGGTCACTGGCCGTGATAGCTTAGGGCCAATGCAACACCATTTTCACGGGGATATTCGATGATTTTAGTATTTATGTATTCATTGCTTCCCTTTTTACAGGTTTATTTTCGATATTGACAACCAACCTAGAAGTCTATTCTATATCATACAACAAATTTCATTTCTGGATTTCTTTACACATAAATGTAGGTCACCTTTATAACTGATACAACAAGTATTTCGCGTAGATAGCACGAAAAATTTTACTTTTTCTCGTATTATATATAACTTAAGTAAACCAATACTTTATCTGTTTATAAAATCTTGTTAAAATATCACGCAAGTACAAACGACCTTCGTTTTAATGTTTGTATATAGATAATTACGTAACGGATTTTTCCGAAATATTTTAAAGGTATTTTATATATCGGATTTATCAAAAATTCGTTGTATTTAAAGAGAGAGACGCCATCATCGCCGACTTCACTAATGTCACTTCTTCTAGTACGTTCCATGATATTTTAAAATGAAACTTCAATTGTTTTTAATGTTCCTGTATTTCTCGAAGGTTCTTCATTATCACATTATTCAATGGTACGCACTAACTGAACTCTGCCGTCGTGCGTCCAGACGTCATATTTATACCAAGATTCAAACATAGGTCTATTCTACTTTTAAACAATCTTTGATTTCGTTTTACTTTTAACAATAATCATGAATACTAATAAGTTTTAATAAGAATTGATGACAGCCCAAGTTATTTTCACGTCGCATCCGTCATTAAATAGCGTCGATATATAAAAAAAAGACTTCAATTAATGTAAGTGGCGAATTTTCTACTTATTGTTTTTGTGGTTATTATCAACGATAATTAAATATATTAAGAACAATAAAGCCTTATAGCTGTGGACATATACTGTTTATATTGTGGCCTCGAATGTGTATTGGATTCCAATTATTCGGTTGCAACTTGCAATGTCGATTACGGTCGCCTTTGAAGTTCTTAAACGAATGTCGGATATGCATCTGACTAAAATCGACTCTCATTATACGAAAATCAAATTTTGCATCCCGTTGTTTATATTAACAAGAATATAGCAAACATTTTAACTCGAGATTTACGAGAAAATCCGTTTTAGACACTCACATATGCTGCGGAATCAGTGTTTGTTGATTTAATATATTAATATTATAATTCAGTTTTAATAACAGATTGTAATTTGCTGGAAATTTATATAATTAAAGAGTAAACATTCGAAATATATATTTTTATCTCCATTATTCATTTTTTAAGAAGGATCGAAGAAAGATTGGAGAAAGTAATATCGTTATTTATGATTGTATTATAAAACTTTACAATTTAAAGTAAATCTTATTAAATAAATAGTGTTAAAGATCTCTTGGTGTTACGAATAATAACAATATTTAATTTTTATCTCCGTCTATAAAAAACTGGTTGAGGTATATTTGTAGGTACATAATAATGAAAACTAGATTAGGGAATTGGATATATATGTACGTCTTTTAACAATATTAAAATACTCAATTAACATCTTAATATATGAAGAAATCTTTTCTTTTTTGTATATAAGTATAGGATAAGAGGTGCAAATCTGTTTGCTAATTTTGTTCCGATATTCAATGCACAAGCATTAATGATTCTTTTTGACACCGCTTTATTAATTACTAGTTTTTGCCTTCAACTTCGTTCGAATTAATTTCGGAATTAGTAATATATTTATAGCCCCAGGGGCCGTTATTAACCAGATATTGGAATTTATTATTATTTTTTCTTTTATAATCGAAAAGAATTAAATTAATTATCTTAGGTCCGTTTCCTGGTTTTAAGCTATGTCTCTACCAATTTTCAACCATATCCTTACAGCCGTTCTTGAGTTATAAATGGTGTAACTAACACAACTAACTTCTTTTATATATATAGACTAGCTTTCCACCAGCAGCTTCGCTCGCGTGTAGTTCGGTTATATCGCGTTTCCAAGAGAACCTTTCAAAACTCTGGAATAAAAACTATCCTACATTCTTTCTCAAGGTCAACTCTATGTCTATACCAAATTTCATTAAAATCAGCTCAATGGTGTAGGCGTGAAAGCGTAACAAACAGACAGACAGAGTTACTTTCGCATTTATAATATTAGTAGGGATCAGTCTTATTATTGACTAATATCATTTTAATAATGTAAATATTACCGTAACTGAAGAATAATTGATGAAACTGCGTAGCGAATGAGGTGAAGAGACATCCCAGTGCTGCCACAAGACCGCCAACCACCGCTGTCACTCGTGTTGATTTGCGAACGCATAACGCAACTGTCACCGGTGACAGAGCGAGGGCCACTCCCGCTGATATGGCTCCTAGACAACCTGGAAATAAATACCAATACATGAATAATGACAAAATAAAGCATTATCTTTCTATTTACTAGGATTTATAAAAGAAAATTAAGTTTATTTGTATGACGAACATATATTTACGGTATAGTAAAACTCGCAAAAATTTGAAAGTCTTATCATTAAGGATAAGATAAATCGTATTAAAAGAGAAAAGATAGTGGTTCATAGAGCAATCACCCATAAACATAACAGTCGCAAGTACTTATTAGTACAGTAATAATTAAACTAAAAAAAAATCTCTACTGTCATTGTTTCAACTGGATTGAACTTATTAGGTATATAGAACATAAATTGTACCTATCATGTTTTGGAAGCAGGTCTAGTTAATTTTCTTAGTTTCAATAATAATGACAATTGAAATTCAATGATCTCCTCCAAGATAAATTTCAGTCTGATCTATTAATTATGAAGGTATCCAAAACTGTTACTCATCTCTCGCTAAGTGAGATGAGATAGCAACTTTTATTAACACTTCAATACTTTGTTATCAATTTACAGCAACCCTCCTCAAAATTGGATTTCTTAATAACGTTATATCCATGATATTAAATAGTAATCAATTATATTTGTGTACAAGGAATAAGTTATAAGATCTTTTTGCCGTAAATCAAGTAATCAGGTAATCAATGATGATAGTATTTTTGAATTAATTTGTTTCCGCAAAAGTAGGGTATTACATATATAATACACTATATGAAACGGCAAACGTTGTTTTGCCATATAAAAAATAGGCATTGGTGATACTCGTAAAAAAGTAAAAAAATTGTTGTTGTACCTATGTTCTTTTTAATGCAACATTATAAAATAATAAAAACAAATACTTTCGCCTAAAACTAAAAAAAAAGTGTAAAGAACCCTAATCATTTAGGGGTATGAAAAATAAATAGTAGCTGCTTCTAAGACCTACTAAAATCAGATAAAATTGTTAAAAATTGGTAAAGCTGTTTTCGAGGAGTACGGTAACTAACACATAACACGCAAATTTAATATACCTATTAGATATATGGAAAGACAAACGAGTAGACAGTGTGATAACAAGATATTTTGATTTCTATGATAAACATAGAACTTTAATTTTAAAAGTACACACCATACTAAATGAACCTTTAGGAATTTTTACTCATAACAGTTTTACGCTAACATCAAAACATCCAAGCCGCGGTTGCTACAGAGATGCGTGTAGTTTTTTTATTTTATCTTTCGTATTTTTATATTATCGTAATCTGGACCATTTTAAGCGAACTTTCGTAAATTTCATGTTTATCTTAAATCGCGAAATTGTATCACTACCGTCGAAATGAGCTTACCTGTTCGTAAACAAGATAACGTTGATCTTGTTTTAAGACTTACATAAAAATATACTTATAATTATTATTTTAAACGTAAAATATATTATTTGATATTATATTTAAAATCTGTTTTATTAATTATTTCTTATAATTAATATTAAAGTTATATTTAAATCAAAATTGAAACAATTTTAGACATCTGGCAATATCTCAAGTTCTCTAATTAATCTTTGAATGAGCATCTTTTATATTAGAAAAACTTTGAGGTCGTTGAATTTATTTTTCGTTGCTTTTAAAACTAATATCTTAAAGTGGAAAGCGATCATTCTTGGCTGGTTTTATAAGAGACAAGTTTATCTGGAATCTATTGTTTTGTTAGTCTATTGTCTATGGTCAAAATTTATTTACAGTTGTATTTTCTCCATAAAGTTTTATATATACCAAGATAGATTTTTGATTAAAAACACTTATAACTTAGTGGTAATTTGTATGGGAATTATTCATGATGCATTTTAGTATACTAGTGTAATATTTTACAAGGTATAACTCTGGCTATGGTAATATTTAGAGTTTACTTCAAGAACACTACATTTATAGCAAAGAAAGCTCCGTAAAAATTTTACATTATTTCCTAATCTCAGTTAGTAAAATTATCTTACACTTAAATCTACGGGGCACTTATTTTTTAGTGTCTAGAGGTATTAAAGAGTCCGATTTGTATTAAATATTTTAAACTTAACATAAGTAAATATGTTTTATATATAAAATATATTAGAAGCCATTTTATTGTGTTTAAACTTGTCACACTAAACTCTAAAGCAATGATAATTGAGTATCGATAAAACGAAAAATTGATTTAACTTCATAATGTCAATTTATAATCTTTATATATAAAAGAAAGTCCTGTTAGTTACACCAATGATTACTTAAGAATGGCTTTACGCGTTATGATCAAAATTGGTGGAGAAATTGCTTATAACCAGGAAAAGGCTAGAAAATATTTTTCATACAATCGAAAGAAAATATAATTTCCAAAATCTTCTTATTTACTGCCTCTAAGAAGGAATAGAGTTCGCCTGGTCAGCTACATATAGATTTCTTATTTTGAAAGTGACGCAGACGAAGTCGCGGGTAAAAACTAGTTATATTTCAAAACAATATTTCCTAAACACTTACAAATTTAAAAGTATTCAAAGTGTATTTATGTTTATTTAAGCCTTTAACGAGATCGTAACATGTTGAATTTTAAATTTGACTTCATTAATATGTATTGATGTCAAACACGTCGTTCGTATTTTTATTATGATTTTCAGTCTCAAATTACTTTGACGAAGCTTTCACGGTCTGAGTAAAGCAAGATGAATCTGCAGGAGCATATATATTCTTATCTGGAAGCTTACTGTAATATTTTAAGGATTTTTTATGGGATTATTTTAGCTAAGACTTGTTTGAAAGTTATTTTTTTTAGTAATAAACGTAATTTTTTATATTATACATTAGTCATAATTATTATTTTGTCGGCAGTAATCGTTCTTTTATTGTGAATAATTGAATTATTTCATTAAATTTATTATTATTTTTTATAACTTTAGTAGGACATGGTTGAAGTTGTAAACATTTAAATAGTATTTTTTCTAGAGATGATAGGGACTGATAGTAAATTAATTAAACTTTTCCAATACCATAAATTGTAGCTCCATATTCCCTACATATATCCACAAGAAAACTAAAAAAGTAGGTACTCCATACAATATTATGTTACGCTAAGTAATCGCAGACAGAGTTGCTTACAAAGCTTAAGTTACAAAAAAAACAACCACAAAATTGATAATGGTGTATAAAATTTATTTTCTCTCAGAAAATATTCGACAGAAGCTATACAATATATTATATTGTTTATTTTATATAAAATAAAAACATGTCTAGCAAGTTTGTAAGTGTTAATCATGGATTGGTATCAGACATTGTCTTAAGGATACAAAATATTAACTTTAGAAACGTCTGACGAATGTCGCTATTGAAAAAGTTTGAACAGAGTTTAGGGTTCGTCAACATTTTAAGTACACACCACATCTGAGGAATGAATCGGCTAGACAATGTTTAATCAGCACAGATTGATGGCTTGTACAATGTACAGCTTGTATGTCCATTACAGTGCTTATGTCCTGCATCTAATTGTGAGAGACGAAACAAAAGCTAAATGAAGTTGTTATTAACAGATACAGTCGGATGAAATGTTTGTGTTGTCTCAAAATAATATAAACTTAATTTATTTTATGGGTCACTGTACAATACGTTGCATGAACATAAACTAACCACGCGTGATAAATTTAATTTAATTTTTTTTTGTTTTAAACTTATTAAATGTAAGTGTTTTATACTATTCTATTATTACTCCATTTAGTGGTTAGTAACAATTCATTCAAGACGTCTAAAAACTCTTCACTTGTTTCTATTCTATTGAAATAAACTTCTGCTGAGATCGTCGTCTTTTAACTATTTGTTTACTTTTATTATTCAACTATGTATTTTATGTTGTATTTTCACGATATCTGAGTGTTTTACGTAAAAGTTTTTGCAACTAAACAACAAATAACTGAAAAAATAAGAAACACGTTTTTTTATACACAGTTTTTCTTCTTCTACCTGGCAATTTCCCAGCTTTAGCCAGAGTCTGCCTAATATAATCTTTATACACAGTTTTTATATAACAAAAACAATTCACTCATTAGGTTATATTCTATTTTTCTAATGTTTTAAGTATAATGAAATTTTATATTTGTTTCCTGTGATGTTAAACACTGGTCTTGTTACTTCAAAGAGTTACAGAACACGACAAATTTACCAAACTTTATTTTTACGACACGGAACACGCGGCGTTGACGTTTTACAGATATATTTAATATCTTACCATCAACTCTCTATTTCTATTTAAACTTTTATGTAAACTCAGAATTACTATATAATATATAATTATCTTGTAAATAAATGCTGTATAATCTAAGTCTTTGTGCTGTTTAGAAACTTAAATATAAGTATTATATAATTATGTTTTTTTTGTGAATGTTTGTTGGATACGAGTCCTTTGAGCCAATAATGTTTAATTATACATAAGTAATTGCCAGTCGTATTGAAAAACATTTTATATTCATATTAAGTTATATGTTTTACAATACATAAGATATTTACATCTGTAGCTATACATTAGTCCTTAAAAAAATATTGTTTTTTTTTTAATATAAAATCTCTTTGAAACATAAATAATGACAAAAAAGATATTTCAATCTGTTACAATATTTTATTTCGAACACGTTCACTGTCCTTCGATTTAATCATTCGTCCAAATTTATTATCAGTTATTATTTACAATATATTTAAAAGTAATTTTTAAATAACATTTTAATATTTGTTAATAAAAATATACAGTACTAGCATAATACACTTTGTGATTAATTAATATTATACCATAAAAGATTTACAGGTACATTTTTTTAATTTAAATAAATCTAATTTTATTTATTTTGACCCTTAGAACCATGGTGATAGAGTTTATATTACTACGTAATTAGGAAGCTTAGTATGAGTTTAATAAACGAAAACTTCCAACGTCATCGTATTCGTTAAAAGAAATTTATATATAAATACTAATATAATAAATGCGAAAGTAACTCCGTCTGTCTG